AAGAGCATTATTCATCACAGCCAAAAAAGTGGAAACAACCCAAATGTCCATCAACTGACAAAAATGTGACAATGGGATATTATTCAGCCATAAAAAGGCATAAATTCCAGATACCTGCAACAATAGGATGATCATGGAAAACATCATGCTGAGTGAAGGAAGCCAGATACAAAGGTCATATATTGCATGATTCCATTGAAATGTCCAAAACAGATAAATCCACAGAGACAGAAAGTAGATTAGTGGTTGCTTTGGGCTGGGAAGAAATGTGGAGGGGACAGGAAGATAAGGAATGACAGCTAAGGGCATGGAATTTCTTTGTGTGGTGATAAAAACTAACTGTGGTCATGGATGCACATATCTATGAATACATTAAAGCCACTGAGGGGTGCCTGGCTGTTCAGGCAGGAAGCCTGCAACTCTTGATCTCAAGGCCATGGGTTCGAGCCTCATGTTGGGTGTAGAGATTATTTAAAAATAAATAAATAAATAAATAAAATCTTAAAGCCTTCGGATTGTATATTCTAAAGGGATGAACTGCATAGTACGTGAATTATATCCCAATAGACTGGTTAAAATAAAAGAGGAAGGGAGAGGCCTTCTTAGGTTCTGGGTCTAAGCCACGTGGCCCGGGCCAGTTTTCTACCTCTGCACTAGGGGTTAGGAGCAGTAGCCAAGTAAGCAGTGAAGGGGCCATGCTGTTCTCACTTTTCCTTGTTCTTTATCTCTTACAGGAATGGTGGCCATGATTTAGGGAGAAGTGAGTGTTTGAGTGTGAACTGGTGGTTTATGCCAAGGGAATCTCGGCTACTACTTACAACATGGATAAATCTCTAAACATTGTGCTGAATGAAAGAAGCCGCAACCAACAGACACTATTCTGTACAATTCCATTTATATGAAGTTCTAGAACAGGCAATCTAGAATTCATCTGTGATGAAAAAAATAAATCAGGTCACTGGTTGCTTCTTGGGCTTTTGGAGTACAGAGGAACTGACTGGAAAAGTACAGGAAGGAACTTTCTAGGGTGTTGGACATGTTCTATAGGTTGGTCAGAGTTTGAGTTTACACAAGTTTTTTTGTTTATAAAAACTCAGGGAATGATAGACTTAAGACTTATACCTTTCAGTGTATGCAATTTTACTCCAACCAAAGAACCATAAACAATATTGACTCCTGTTGCATGTAATGTTGCATGTTGCTGTGTTTAGAGGGAGACCACACTGATGACAGCAATGTACTTCGAAATGTATTAAGATAGATTGATAGATGGATAGATACACAATATCACAAATATAACAAAATGTTAACAATTGTAGAAACTAGGTAGCTTTCTACAATTTGGTAGGTTTATACGTGTGCACTATACAATTTCCATCCACTTTTCTGCGTGCTTGACATTTTTTTTATTAAAGGAAATATCATGAACTGCACGTAAATAGAAATCTTATCCTGATTTCTAGTAGATACCTAGAACAATCTGATGAAAACTATGTACCTCTTCTCAAAGGCATCCATTCCAACGGAAATAAGATGTTGCTCACATCTTGTGAGCATGGACCTCCTAAAGCCTATTTGTGGACCACTGATATGGCCAAAGAGTTAATGACTTCATGGCTGTCCAGATGTAGATGAGGGGAAAGGAGTGAAAGGCAACTGGGAGAATTTTGGGAAAATACAGGGGGAGAATGGTGGTGTAATTATAATTGGAAACTGACACATTGTAACTATATGATCATGTTTCTGTTACTGATTTTAGTAGTTTCTTTATCAGGCAGCCTCGTTCCTCATTTAGCATCCAATTAATAAAGTTGCTATTGACAAGCTGCCTCAATGTTTTCACTTGGCTTAGTTCTGACAATCAAGGGTTCTTAGCCTAACCATAGCTTCTTTATAAATCTTGGAGACCAAAAAGCAAGGACAAATGGATTTTCCAGATGTCTACCCAGGATGTGCTAATAGACTCAAGACAGGGCAGCAGGCATCAGTTAGGTACAGAATATGTTGAGAACGGAAAGGCCCCAAAATAAGTTTTTCCTCCAGTTTGGTTGGTCGCTCATTGGGTGAACCATCTATCACAAAGACATGGGGTCGTGGTTTTCTGGGGGACTTGACCTTCAAAGTCTGCTGGGCTCCATTCATAAGGCTGTTTTCAAGAGAAACAGAAACACTGATGATCCCCCAAGTGAAATGTCTTAGAGGAAAGTAGATAGAGGTTTAGGCTGCCAATGAGCAGTAAGATCTATAAAAGTCCCTGGACTCAGTTTCTTGATCAGAATTAGGAGGGATTTATACTGGACGGAGTATATTGCTTCCTACCCTCCTGGTTGTCCCAGACACTGTGCTCAGCTCCTTCATGTAGGTTACCTCATTCTACCCTAGGCCACAATTCTCTTGGTGTTGTCATTTCCATTTTACAGATAAGGAAACTGAGGTATGAAGTTGTATTTAGGAAATGTAATTAATTTTCCTCCCAAGAATGCTCCTGATTCAGCAGCCACCACCAATACACAGGAAGCAATGAGAACCGTGAAGGAGCCTGAAACTGGCTCTCCTGAAGCTGGCTGTTGCCCTTCTGATCTTTCTGTCTTTGTCATTTTCAGAAACCAGCAACCTGACAAAGAACAACTGAGAAGAAGGGACCGTCCTGGAAGCAGACAAGAAGCTCTGACTTAGCCTGTTGCGGGGATATTGTATGCCTCTACTCTGAGAGGAGGGAGGCAGCATTTTGTGAGGGCTTCTCCTTGTTTCAGGGTGAAGCCTGCCGGGGGTGCCCTGTGGCTGCTTCTTCGTGCACCCAGCAAGATCTGTTCTGTCTGTCCCTCCTCCTGAGTCCTGGTGCCCACAGCAGTCTTCCACCTCCCAGGCTATGTGTGGGATGATGGGCAGCGACCTCAGCCCCCAGGAAGGTGGGCTGCGAGGGTCCTCAGTGGGCGCCTGACCCAGCCTCCTGCAAACACATTTGCCTCCCCCAGTAGTAGTACTAACAGATATTAATGCTGAAAAATCAGTCTGTCTTATTGGACAGGAGTTGTTGTCCCCCCAATAGGAGAAGAGAGACTGAGAACAAGATCTAGAGCAAGAGGGAGCTCCACACACATACACACACACAGAGAAATCAAGCAAACAACAGATAGAACAAGAAGGGAAAAGGAGAAAAGCTGGACATGGTAGGGCAAGGGACAGAAGAGAAGGCAAGAGAAAACCAAATCGATGGGGATCCCTGGGTGGCTCAGCGGTTTAGCGCCTGCCTTCTGCCCAGGGCATGATCCTGGAGACTCGGGATCAAGTCCCACGTCAGGCTCCCTGCATGGAGCCTGCTTCTCCCTCTGCCTGTGTCTCTGCCTCTCCTCCCTCTCTCTGTGTGTCTCTCATGAATAAATAAATAAAATCTTAAAAAAAAAAAAAAGGAAAGGAAAGGAAACCAGATCGCCACAAACAAGCAGAACATGACAGGCTTCACATCTCCAAACAAAGGCTCTGCAGGACGTCTTCCTCAGCTCAGGACGAGCTGAGCCTCTGAGGATTCTGCAGAATTGAACATTACCACTAGATATGCCCTTCCCAACCTGGGACTCAGGCCAGACCCATGGGTTCCCTCTTGGGCCACAGCGATTGGTTCTCAGCAGGGTGTGTGAGTCAAGGCAGTCCAGTGAGACTCTACCCCAGGAGCTTTCTTAAAACCATGATGAAAAGGACTTTGGGCAAAAGGACAACAAAAGCCTGGAACTGCCAAAGCCACCACACAGGGATATCCTACCTGAGTATGAAGCCAAAACAGAGGGAAGCAGAACAGGAAGATGGAGACAAATTCCTAATAAGATCAACTAGGCTCCTGGATTCAGCCATGCCTGAAGCTATGCCTGCCCTGGGATTTTTCAGGTATATGATCTGAGGCCTTTAATGCTTAAGTCCGTTTGAGTATCTGTCATTAGCAAGTACAAACCCACCAATTGGTGGAACCATCTCTTTCACCAGCTCCCAGAAATCATACCTGAGTACTACATACCAAGTCTCCTGACAAAAATGGTGGTCAACAGGGCCTGGACTCTCCCAGAGGGAAACACAGAAGCCCATAAAATAACTGCTAAATAATGAAAATTGTCCAAAGTAAAACTATCACAGGAAGAAAGGAGGGTTATATGTGGTCTCCACAGGACTGCGGTATAACTATTCATGGGTCCCAAGCACTTTTGTTTGCATGGGACTCTGTCCACTAAAAAAAAAGTTAATTTTTTTTTTTATACTTTAACTGGCATAAAGAAGAGTATAATGCAGGCTGGATCATACTTCTTCTTCCTCACTATTTTAAAAGAAACTAAAACATTTTCATGAGTTCTTAGAAGGACCAAGGACCCTGGGCACCGTGCCTATTCCATCTAATGGATTCACTGGCTCTGGGCCCATATTATTCAGATTGCTTGTCTACATGGTCCAGGTTTCCTAGAGATGAACCCAACTCTCTTCTTGTCTAGAAAGGGAGGAAGGGTCCCTATGAGTCTCTCAAAGCCCAGTCCCCCTTTCCCTCTTTCCCACCAGCACTTCACTGAATCCTCACTGCCTGGCTTCATCTTTGGGGCACTCAAACACAGGGGACACTTTCTGTGCATCATGGAGAGCTGCTCCTAATGTTTTGGGTAACGAGACTGGGAGCTCCTCAATGGCCCATGTGTCTTTCATCAAAGTGCTCCAAGTCTTAGCACAGGCTGGATGCAGAACAGGGGAAGAACAGGGAGCAAAGTGTGCTTCCTACTTAGCAAACTCTTGTCACTTAGGATTTGCACTCAGGCCAGGCAGGACATGGAAAGGGAAGAGACAGGCAGGTAGGAGTGTGGTGAATGGCACCACACAGTCTCCAAGGTCTTTCTGGGCCCTCATCTATTCTGAAGGGCAATGTGCCGACTTGTAAAGCTAGAGGGGGCTGGGGGGTTTTGTGGACCAGACCAGAGGTTGTATAGGCATGAGTCAGCGTGAGAGGCCCCAGAACCCCCCTCACTCACCTTCATCACTGGTGTGAGGCTCTGTACCATTGTCGTGGTCAACTTCATCAATAGTCCCTGGCTCACTATGTGGACTGTCACTGCAAGGAAACACGGGAAGGACACTTGTTGGGCTTTGCACCCTCACACTGTCCTCAGCTTCTCTTAAGTGCCAGCCCAGCCCACCTCTGTGCTTGACCCGGATCAGGCCCAGGCCTGCACTGTCCTGCCTTATCCATCTGACCACCCATGGACCCTCCTAATAGAAAACCGCTATCCTGAATAACCTTCCCCAGCCCTGAAATCCACTGTGCTGCCAATTCCTACGAGTTCCATAAGACCCAGAGGGCAGTGTAAAACCCTGGCATTTATCCTTAGAAGGACCACAGGCCAAAACAGGAAGGAATTTTGGAAGTACTGTGAGTCATTCGTCTAACCTGGTTCCATGTCTTACACAGGATGTGACACGCCCAGCAAGGTGGGAGTGAAGCTCACAAGGAGCAGGGTTCTCAGGGCTGCCTCATGATGCTGTGTGCAAAAGCCCGGGCCAGTCCAGGTGGTACCAGCAGAAGGCATGGAAGGAAGTAGAGTGAATCCAGGCCTGTCAAATTTGTTACTAATACACTGAGATAAGTTCACCAGCCACTAACCCTTCTCTACATTATAAGCTTCTTGAGGCTTCTAGTCAGTTTTCTAACTGAGCCATTGATGGAGTCCTAATATATACCAGGCACTTTGCTAGGTAGGAGGGATGTGCTGATGGGTAAGTGGGTACAGACTCTGCCCTCATGGGCCAGGAAATAAAACTGCTGCAAGTTGAAATGTGTTATATAGGAGCAAATGAGCAGAGACAAGAACAGCAGAGGGGACCTGCTCAGGGAAGGCTTCTTGGAGGAGGTACCGTTTGCAATGGCATTTGAGAAAATATGAATTTCATTATGAAAAATTTTCCATTGCCTCCTGGATAAGGTCCAGACTCTGTACAATGGCTTAAGACCTTTCATAACATAGCTCCTGCTGGCCTGCGTAGTCTCCTCCCTCACCATTCCCTTGGCGAATACAACCCTCTAGCCACACAGAACCACTTTCCATTTTACTGGATGTTCCAAGTCCAGAACATTCTTTGCCCACTCCTCTTCTGGCTGACTCCTGTTCATCCTACAGGCCTCAGGTAAGTCATCATTTCCTCCAGGAAGCCCTTTCTGACTTCACTACATTGGCTCAGGGAGCTCCCCTTCTGAAACTGCCTATTCCCTTCTCCAACAGAGCTCCCTGCATCAGAGATTAATCTTGTTTGGGTTACATTCCCGCCCTGCTGCCCAGGGCCTGGCCTAGGACAGACACTCAGCAACCATCTGTCCATCTGTTGAATGAATGAATGTTGTCCACTACGGTAAGACCCTCAGCCAAAGCCCCCATTTTGGCTTCAAAAATACCTCCAATGTAATGAATAGCTTTCCTTTCTCATGGGACATAAACGGGCTTAAGACAAGTGTGGTTATTATATATTGTTCTTTGGTAAGTACAACTGCTCTTGAGGACCCTTCCTAGAACACTAATTATATATATTGCAGCCAGGAAAGAGAACTGGTGATGCAAACGCTGCGTGAAAAGCTTCTCTTTGTCCAGAGAGTATACTTGCTGGCTGCGTAATGTTTCTGTTACAGAACAGGAGCAGACTTGCTCCTGGTGCCACAAACAAGGTTACAGAGCTGTGATGACAAGACAGCAGGGTGTGACATTTCTATGGCGGATGGGGTGGAAAACAGAGGGGATGGAATGTCTCCCTTCTTTGAAGCAATTCAGGAGTCCAGGAACGCTTTGATAATCAAAAGATGAAATCCCCTATAGGCACCTAGCTGAAAGCAGTATGGGGAATACCTAAACACACGGCCCTGTGTTGTCCTGGATTGGGAATAAAGAATGAACAGGAACTCTTCGGCTGGTCTTTGTCAGTTGTCAGAAATGTTTTCTGAATTCACATTTGAAACAATTTCCTACCTTTACTACATTTTAAGGTCTTAGTCTGGGGAAAGCAGTCAGCCCTTAGATTAGGTTCTAAAATTTTTCTTTCAAGACCAGGTACACAAATGTGCCGAACTACCAATTGCTGACCTGGCGTGAAGCTCTCAAAGAACATGAACTCACTTTGTCAGGCTTGAGGTGGTGATTATTATCCACTCCCCTGCTGCCTGAGATAGGTTTGTGACTCACCTGGCTAATGACAGCTTGACATCTCCTAATCAGTGTGATTTGTTGACCAGACCTGAGCCTCAGCAAGGGAGGCTTGGATTTGTGTTGGGACACTTGGGAAGAAGCAGCCCTTTTTCTACTGGGGCTGCTGAGAGAATGTACTCTAAATCTGGAGTTACCAGATGCCTTCCTGAAGCCAGCAAGGGAGAGACTGCTTGAGACTGAAGCCAAAACAGAAGAAAGCAGAGCCAAGGGCTAGGGATTGCAGGACCAAGTCCTGATGATAATATTTGAACTCCTGGATCCAGCTATACCTGAAGCCATGATCCTAGACTTTTGAGTTATGTAAAGTAAAACAATAACTTCCCACTTAGCTCAACCAGTTTGAATTGTATTTCTGTCCCTTATAAACCAAAAGAGAGTCTTGGCTGATGCAACTATCTCTCCTATAAGGCTGCGGCAAAGCTCAAATGAGAAAATGCATATGGGAATACAGACTATAAAGCAGTAAGAAAATCGGAGGGTTTCTTACTGCTCCTGTTCAACAGCAACAACAACAGTGATTATGATAATAATAATATTAAGAAGAATGGAATCTTACCAATATTCTTCCCCTCCAGCCATGCATTTTTCATACACAGGTCCCTCTAGCTCCCGGGGGCTGGGGAAGATGGCTTCATGATGGATGATGATGGTTTTGATGACTTCGTTGACGTGTGCCTGGCAGGACACAGGGTCCTGCCCATCAGGGATGTGCATGAGGGTGGGCCCGAAGCAGATGGCCAGGTTGTAGGGATCCATCATGTTCTCGTCGCTATACTGCGAGAGGCTACAAGAAAGGAGGTACTCACAAGTCACCTGGAAGAGGTGAATCTTCCCCCCTGTGAGTTCTTTCGTTTGAGGGCTCTACGCAACTCCCGGAGGGCTCCATGTTCTGTTTTAGGAACAGCTGCATCTGCAAAAGCCTCAGGACTCCCCCTCCCAAAGGAGGCCAGCGCTGAGGCAAAGGGGGCCCCCCACCCAGCCAACTTGGCCCAGCAACTCACTGGTTGAGGAAAGCAAAGAGGTATCTCATGACCACGATGACCACCCGGGGAAGGGTGATGAGGATTTGCTGGATCTGGTGTACCCTCTCAGCTGGGTTCTCCAGTTCTGTAATACAAAGGGGCTTCTCAGGGCGTCTTTCATCCTCAGAGAGCCAGGTAGACAACATCTGCTCCTAGATCAGTCCATATGGTTCAGGGGCAGCCAGTTCTCTCAGTTCTGGGGATTGATCTGTGACCCTGGGCTGGCCACTCAGAGCAAGCATGTGAGTCAACACATTCTCTTTGATGGATGAAGCCAGTATAAGTCGAGTTTCTGTCACCTGAGGCCTATGAGTCCTGATGAATAGAGGCATGGACCATGCTTTGTTAACCTCTTTATGAGCACCAGCTACGCCACAGGCACAGCACATAGTAGGTGGGAAACCAGTGTTGAATAAATAACCAACTCTAAGAGCTATATATTGGCCAACGAGCTTGGCATCTTCAGGTCAGTCCTCGACAGAGAGACACTGGTATTTTTGTCAGTCAGGCGAGGGGTGGGAGAGCAAATGGGCTTGGTGAGGAGAAGCGCTTTGTGGGCTTTGCCTTGTGGGGCGGGAAAGCTGGCGCAAAGGCTCAGCTGCCGGAGTTCTCATGTGTGTCTTCAGGGCTGGTACACACGCCTATGTCAGTTTCTTTCGCAGAAAACATGTTTTTCTCACACAGCCCCTCCCTCCAGCCTCCACATTCTTTTTTTTTTTTCTAAAGATTTTATTTATTTATGAGAGACACAGAGAGGGAGAGAGAGGCAGAGACACAGGCAGAGGGAGAAGCAGGCTCCATGCAGGGAGCCTGACGTGGGACTCGATCCCGGGACTCCAGGATCATGCCCTTGGCCGAAGGCAGGCGCTAAACCGCTGGGCCACCCGGGCTGCCCCAGCCTCCACATTCTGTCAGCATGTTCCTCCTAAAACACGATTTCTCCTCTGTGTCCCAGGCCTTTCACAGCAGGGCTTCAACCAACCTAGCCTGCCTCACCTCAGCTGCTGCCCCTCACTCCCCAAGTATCTGAAGATGATATAGAGCCATGCTTCTCCAATGGAGTGGTAGTGATCCTCTGGGCATTAACAAAACCACTGGGCACTCTTTGGGGGTTGTCACAGTGACTAGAGGGTACCCTTGTCATTTGGGATCCAGGGGTCAAGGTGCCAAGTGTCCTGAATGCATGGGACCCACAATAAGGCTTGCTCTACCCTAAATGCCAATAGCACCCCACCAAGGAACTCTGTGCCAGGCTGCCTTATCCACCATCTCCCTCCCACAGCAGGCCTTCCTGCCCCCGGGCCTTTGCACACACTGGTGATTTCTCTACTCTGCCCAGCACACTCTAGCCTATCTTCAAGTCTGGCACTGAGGCACCTTGCCCAAGCCTCCCCACAGAGCTAAAGGTTTTTAGACCTGTCTTGATTCTGTCACCCTTTCTACAGGCTGCTCCGTGTCCTCAGCTTTAGTCATTAGCACCCTAGTACCACCTCCACTTAAATACATTTTTTTCTTAAATATATTTATTCACAAAGGAAGTTTTACCTCACTCCGTAAATGAGAAAGCAGGATCACTTACTATAATTAGGAGCTGACATAAAAATAGATATAATGAAAGCAAAACAATGTTACTAAATTATAGGTAGGCGATATTCTATATAAAAGTTTCTGAGACTGAGACCCCAATTTCTCTGTTTAGAAGGGAAACTGACCTCTGAAATTTTCTCCCTCATGTAATCACAGGGTTTGAGAGGGAACTGAGAAGGGATTTATTTTTTTTTTCCCCAAGTGTGATCCAAGGTATGCAATGTTATGAGCTTATACCAGAGGTCAACAATCCAGGTCCACTCAGGGCTCTGCTCAGGAACTAGACTAATGGAGCATCTGGAAACATTGGCTGAGCCTGTGACATGGGCTCAGATAGGGTTGGGCCTTTGTGGCCTGGAATTTCTGGGGGTGCTTTGGAGCTTGAAGTGGATCTGGAGAGATGAGCAGGAAGTAGTGTGGAGGGCAGCAGGGTAGAGAAAGGGTCTGTTATACAAGGCAGGCAAGAGGCTTGAAGCCTCCCACCCACTGGAGCACTTTCCAGGCTGCAAATCCCTCTCAGATCATTGTGAGAAGCATCCCTAGTAATACTGGGTGTGTGGCAGTTTTCTGTAAATCAGTTTACTCTAAAATACTAAGATTCTCATATTGTAACATTAAGAGTTTATTTCTAAAAATTTCTCAAATGTTGCCTTGGATTTGGGTATCTTACAGTCAAGGTGCCTTTACTTCAGCCCCCTACACTGGGCTCCTGCCTTCATCCACAGAAATACCTGTCAAGGAGAACTCCGATGGCTCATGACATTAGAAGATGCCCACAGTCAACTAATTTTCACCATTTTACTTGTCTATCATGTTGTTGACCTGACTCCCAACCCCTCTATGGCTCCCTATTACCTAAGGAGAAAAGTTCCAAATCCTTGCACTTCTCCCCTCTTGCTCTGTTACCCTTTCAGCCTCTTGCACCATGCACTGTCTGGGACACCCTCCTACTGGTCCCATTAGTCCTCAAATTCTTCCCAGGATGCTCTGTGTCCACTCTTGGAAGGCTCTGCTCATATCACTCTCTCAGCTGCGATCTGCAAAGCCAAGTTTCTGTCTGCCTCTTCTCTTCTGAGCTCATTCCATACCCAGGGCTGTACATGCCATTGTCCAATATAAACCATCTTGTTATCTCTACAACTAGGTTTTAAATTCTATGAGAACAAGGGTCATACCGCTTCTTTCATACCATCCCTCCCATGTGCCTAACACAGTGATGAGTCCACAGTACAGCTTCAATAAAGGTATGTCACACAACTCATCATTCTACCAGTCCACCTAAGGAATACTTACTAATAGTAGATATCAAATCTTGAAACCTTTCCTTAGGAAAGAGTGGGTTTTCCAGTCCTCGGAAATACAGTTTTAAAACACCAGCGACTGAATTGATATCTCGCTCATTTTGATCATCCACAAGGGGGTCTTCGCCTGAGAGGAAACAGGAGATGATATTTCAGCTTGGTAAGGAGGCAGGAAAATGTGCAATTATCAGGAAGGATGGCCTGGTCCAGGCTGAACCAGAGAAGCAGCAGATGGGACAACCTCCTTTTTTTTTTTTTTTAAGATTTTATTTATTTATTCATGAGACACACACACACAGAGAGAGAGAGAGAGAGAGAGAGAGAGAGAGACAGAGACCCAGGCAGAGGGAGAAGCAGGCTCCATGCAGGGAGCCCGATGTGGGACTTGATCCTGGGTCCCCAGGATCATGCCCTAGGCTGAAGGTAGCACCAAACCGCTAAACCACCAGGGCTGCCCCGGGGCAGCCTCCTTGATAGAACAAGTTTAGAGTTCTCCCTGTAACTAATTTTAAAAATGTTCAAATCAATGGAAATATTGTGAAAATAAAATACTGAACATCCATCACCCTTCACTCATGCTCATTAACTTACACTCATCTTGCCGTATTTGCCTTCTCTCTTTACTCATATTTATTATTGCTCAATGATTTGAGAGTACTTTTTAGACACCACGACATATCACTAAGTACTTCGACACATTTCTCGTACGCATATTCTCCTACATAGCTACAGAACATCTTTACACTAAGAAAATTAACAATAGTTCCAAAACACCATCTCATATACAGCCTACATTCAAACATTCCCAATTGTCCTGTCTTTCAGAGAATTTTTTCAAAGGCTAAGCTCTAGTCAACAGGCACAAAATTCATTTGGTTGTTATGTATCCTTAGTCTTTTGAGGACCCAACATTTTTTTATTGTTAGTTTTTTTTATAATGTCTCTTCTGAGAAGTCTAGGCCAGTTGTCTTATGGGATGCTTCCCATTATGGATTTTTTTATTTCCTCATGATTAGATTTTTTTTAAAGATTTTATTCATTTATTTGACAGAGAGAGAGCACAAGCAGCAGGAGCAGCAGTCAGAGGGAGAAGCAGGCTCCACGCTGAGCAAGGAGCCCAATGTGACGCTCCATCCCAGGACTCTGGCTAGATCAAGACCTGAGCTGAAGGCAGATGCTTAACTGACTGAGCCACCGAGGCACCCCTCTCATGATTAGATTTAAGTTAAACATTTTTGGCAAGAATAGTGCACGGGTGATGTTATGAACACCTTATTGTATCCAAAGACACATAATGTCAGCCTGTCTTGAGGCTGGTGATGCTAAGTTTGATCAATGGATTAAGGGGGTGAACTCCAGATCTCTGCATTATAAAGGTTTATTTTCTCCTTTGTAATAATAAGTGTAAAAAATATTTTTGAAAAGAACCAAATGATCTAAGTGCATGCCATCATACTCAACATGTTTCACCCAATGCTTTTAACATCCAATGATGATCTTAACCTAAATCAATTATTATCCTGGGTTGCAAAATGATATTTTTCTAGCTCTTTCATTCTACATTTAGTAGCTGGCATTCTTCCGTAAAGAGGAGGTTTCTGCATGCCCTCTTAACTTTTTCTATTATTATCATTGTTGTTGTTATTTATCATCTTTATGGAATTGCTTTTGTAGTTTTTACTTTAGTGTGTCATAATCCATCACCATCACTATTCTTTGGGATACTCAGATTATCCCTAATTTTTCCAGGGACAAATGTCCTTTATATGTGACTTCCACTGAGCACTTCCTTGCTTTCTGGCACAAAAGATGTTCATGGGGATCCCTGGGTGGCGCAGCGGTTTGGCGCCTGCCTTTGGCTCAGGGCGCGATCCTGGAGACCCGGGATCGAATCCCACGTCGGGCTCCCGGTGCATGGAGCCTACTTCTCCCTCTGCCTATGTCTCTGCCTCTCTCTCTCTCTCTGTGTGTGTGACTATCGTAAATAAATAAAAATTAAAAAAAATTTATAAAAAAAAAGATGTTCATGGATCACCTTGTACTTTCCTTGACCCAGATCTGAAATCAAACATTTCTCCAAGAAGCTCTGTTTGCTTTTTGTAGACAATGGTATTTAGAAAGCAAGATCTAAGTTCTAGATGCGCTCAGTGGTATAAAAGTGCTATGAAGAGTTTGTTGGAACACCTGGGTGGCTCAGTGGTTGAGCGTCTGTCTTTGGCTCAGGGCGTGATCCTGGGGTCCCGAGATCGAGTCCCACATTGGGCTCTCCACAGGGAGCCTGCTTCTCCCTCTGCCTGTGTCTCTGCCTCTGTCTCTCTGTGTCTCTTATCAATATATAAATAAAATCTTTAGAAAAAAGCTTCTAAGACTTTAGTGGATAGGAGAATACATATTTTTTTTCATGAGTTCACAGTTATTTCCAATTCATATTTAAGATTCAAGATTTTCTTTACCTTCATTTATTTTATATTGGTATTTCACTTTTCTTAGTGAAAATCTTGGTTCTGAATTCCATTAATAATGTATTTCTGTGGGAATCCCTGGGTGGCTCAGCGGTTTGGCGCCTGCCTTTGGCCCAGGGCGTGATCCTGGAGTCCCGGGATCGAGTCCCACATCAGGCTCCTGGCGTGGAGCCTGCTTCTCCCTCCTCCTGTGTCTCTGCCTCTCTCTCTCTGTGTCTATCATAAATAAGTCTTTAAAAAAAATAATGCATTTCTGTATCTGCCTTATCCTATAATATATATAAACATAGTTTTAAAATTTTAATAATAATATCACCACTAACAATAAACCTAATACATAAAATTTAAGGTTTCTTTGCAGGGCTTTTGTTTTTGTTTTGTGGGGATAGGGGGGTTAGTCCTCAGAATGTATCCCACTAAAGATGTATGGTCAAAAGATAGAAAGTACATTAGTGGTTGCCTAAGGTGGGGGCCTGGGGTATAGGGAGTAACTACAAATGGATACAAGGTTTCTTTTGGGGGATGATGAAAAATTTCTGAAATTGGATTATGGTGATGATTGGACAATTCTGTAAATATACTATAAACAGCTGAATTGTACACTTTAAAAATGGGTGAGCTTTATGGTATCTACCTCAATAAAGCTGTTAAAAATGTATGACCAGAGGCACCTGGGTGGCTCAGTAGATTAAGTGTCTGCCTTCAGCTCAGGTCATGATCCCACATTGGGCTCCCTGCTCTGCGGGGAGTCTGCTCCTTCTCTGCCCCCTGTTCATGCTCTCTTCTGCTATTTTTCTCTCTCTCAAATAAATAAAGTCTTTTAAAAAGTATGACCAGAGCACATGTTCAAAAGTTACTCTCTGTGTGATGATCAATTTGATACACATCTTGTTTCTAATTATATTCAATTTTAGGGATTGATTTTTTCCTAGAAATTCTTTTTTAAAAAATTGTAGTTTTGAAAATACAAAGCATTTACATTGTCCAAAAGTGAAAACCAGATAAAAAGTTACATGCAGCCAAGCCCTACTCTTATCCTTCTCTCCTCCATGCCTTACATGTAACCATTTTCATCAGTTTCTGGTTTGCCCTGGGTTTTTTTTTCCATCAAAATAAGCAAATACATGTATGAGAATTTTTCATCCCCCTTCATTTTTAACACAAAATATAAGTAGTATACGATACTGCTACATACACTGGTTTCTTTGCTTCATAATAAATATGAGAAATCCCTCTGTATCATAGAGATCTTCCTTTTTCTTCCTTTAAAAAAAAATGGCTGCGAAGTACTTTATTTCATGATTGATCACAATTTAGTCAACCAATCTCCTATAGACATTTGACTTCTTTCCAATCTTTTGCTATTATAAACTTTGACACAACAAATAACTTTGGGCATTTTTTTTTTTTTTTTTTTTTTTTTTTTTTTTTTTTGTGGAGCTGCTTTTCTGGTCAGGTCCTAGAAGTGGGATTGTGGGTCAAAGGGTATAGACATATGAAGTTTCACCAGACAGAGCCAAGTTCTCCCCCACTGGGTCTGTACCATTCTTTATTCCTACTGGCAACAGAGGCTTCTTTTCCACAGCCCTGCAGCCCTGCCCATGGAATGCTGTCAATCTTTCTTTCTTTCTTTCTTTCTTTTTTTTTTTTTTCCAATTGGCCAGGGGAAAATGATATTTCAGGAGAGCATCACTTTTCAATTTCATCATGAGTTGCTCAACGAGATCACCCCCAGCTTCCACAGGAGGAGGTGAAAGGAAGCACAGAACAATCCAACCCCTCCCTGGAGGTGCTGACAGATGTCTGCACCATGGGCTTTCCCTCCTTTTCCCAGAACAGCCCACAGACTGTTCTAAGACTGGCAAGCAGTGAAGAGCAGAGCTAGAAATCCATACTTGGATCTCTTTACTCCACCTCCGTAGGAAAAGAATGCATGTCACTGCCAGGGCCTCTGCCAGCCCCAACATACTGTAACATTAATTAGGGAGCCCCTCCTTTCCTAAGCCAGGTCTTGTGGCTTCAGAGCATGAACTGGAGTTCAGTTCCCACCTGCCCTCTTCGGCTGAGCCCCCCTGTGTTGTGCTCAGCCTGAATGACTACGTGGCGGCCTGACCCTGATGTTCCATAGGTCCACCTCTCAGATATCCCCACAGGAGAACAGGAGAATTCCTTGTGGGGAAGGAGGGGAAAAAATATAAAAAATCATTGCCTATACTGATATAGCACTTCTCAAGTGAGAAGCACATTCGCACACACAATCTCTCTTAATCCTCACAAGAGCACTGCATGGCGCCCAGGAAGGCATGGTTCCAACGCCACCATTCTCTCTCGCAAGAAAGCTGAGGCCCAACAAGCAAAACAACTTGCCCACATTCACATAGTCAAAACAGACACCAACAGTTCCCAGGTCTTATAATGCCAGGAAGATGTTTTTCCTTTTACCAATGTCTGTCTGTCTGCTTACATGCCTACCTCCCTCTCTCCCTCCCTCCTTACCTCCTTCTACCTTCAGAGCAGAATCCCAATCTTTCCCTTGTCTTTTTCAAGAAAAATGTTTCTTTGAATGCTCAACACATAAAAAGCTATCTTAGTTGAATTTGGAGGAGAGGTCCACATCTCTGTCCTAAGGCCCCTCTCTGTTCCTGTACCAGCCCTTGAGTCCTCTCCGAAGGACCAGAGAAGCTCAAAAACTCTAGACTAGAATTAGCTATTTCCCTATTATTACCATATATTACCTGTGGGGTCTCATGATTCAAAAGCACATAGATTTTTTTTTTCCTCCATAGTGCATATTAGCTCCCCTCACCAAGCATGACCAACATATGGACTTTACATACATACCCATATACTACATATGTGCACACCACACATGCACACACAGATTTGCTCTTGCTTTTCCTCCCAGAAAGCACTTGTTCCATAAAAGGAACCACCCAAATATTCCAAATATTCTCTCTTCCTAGCCTAGGCCTTTGGCTCTCTGCAAGGCAAGTCCATTTTGGCTCCAGGAATAATTGGAATTCCAGAGCTCAGGAGGAGCAAGATAGTTTATAGGAATGATGTCTTCCTCCAGGAAGAGAATTGCAGCTAAAATTCTAGGCAAGTCTGAGAGAATGCTGTGTTCATACTTGGCTAGCTAATGCCCTGGGGAGGAGGGGGGAGGATTGTTACCCAATAGCCCTTTCTACAGTGCACTCTTGGCCAGGTCACCAGGGCACTGCTGAGGACTCTATGGCAGGGCTGCATCCAGGGCAGAGTGTGAACACAGTGTGTGCTGTGTGCTTTGAGGCTCTAAGGAAACCTGGTGCCAGACTGGGTGCATGGCAGGAACCTTGCAGGTGGTCTCTGACACGAGGACTATTCTCTGTGAACACTGGTCCTCCCAAGTCATTCTAAGACTCCTCAAGATGACAACCCCCAGCTCTAGAATGTGTCAAACCCTATATGCCATGACTTCAGCCTCAAATCCAAACCCTATCCTGACCTGTACAGGGTGAAAGGGCCATTGACTCTCCTTCCAGCCTCCCCTCCACATAAGGGGAGACCCCTGGCAGCTCTCTCATTGTTACCTACAAAGGGGACAGTGGGGAAAAACAGTTTTCCCAGGAAAACTGGCCTGAGGGACAACAGCAAAGCATGGCTCTATTTCTGCCTTTTTGTGATATTTCGCCTTCATTTTTCCAGAAATTTCTCAAAACTTGCGTGATGAGTTTAAGGCTTACTGACAGCAAAAAATCGTATCATTATCATCACCATCTCAACTAAAACCCTGGTTGACTTGTGTCAGAAGTAAAAGAAAGTGGGTTTAGGAATAAGCCGAGAATGAATTCCTACATGTTGCAATTTTTCAGAACCTTAAAGAAAACAGATCTATGTTCCTTTCAACAGCCTTATACAAGGAATGTAGGCAAGAACTTCACTCAAGAGAGAAAGAAGGGGGCCAACAAAGAAAAAGACCAAAATCTCTTTGAACAAATGGCAAAGGACAGGCACCCTGCAGGGATTGAGGGATTTACTTTTTTTTTTTTCTCTAAGATTTTATTTATTTATTCCTGAAAGACACAAAGAGAGAGGCAGAGACATAGGCAGAAGGAGAAGCAGGCTCCCCGCAGAAAGCCCAATGCAGGGCTTGATCCCAAAACCCCAGGATCATGGCCTGAGCTGAAGGCAGCCGCTCAACCACTGAGCCACCCAGGTGCCCCAAGGGACTTACATTTTAACAGATAAAGGGAAAAAAGGAAAAATGCACGATGTGCTGGTTTAGAGAGAAAATTCAGTCCCAAGTTAGAGCGTGTAGGAGAGAAGAATGGGCTAGAAGAGAAATGCTGAGCTTCCCCAGGCTTGGTCACCTGGTTGGCGGGGATGCAGAGAAATGCAGCAGGAAAGGGGATGCACAGGAAGCAGGAAGCTATCAGTTGCAGGAGAGGTGGGAGGTGACCCTGAGGGTCAGCTGAGTAAGGAGCCAAACCTAGAGCAGTTGGTTGGTGAACATCAAGAAGCAGAAAAGAGTACATGGGAAATCTGGGCACAAGCCAGGAATGGATTTTTCTAAAAGAGACATACCAGGAACAATTTTTTTATTTTTATTTTTTTTAAAGAATAAGCCATAGTTCACCATAGGCTCAGGTGGAGTAGAAAGACAAGCCTGCCTCAAGAATGAGATTCACTCTGGAATGATGGAGAGAGAGAGAGAGGAGCCAATGGCATACTTGGGGCAAAGAAAAAGCAGAAAACATTTTTACAGCTGAGATTTGGGTCAGGTGATCCCTGCTGCACAGGGCTCTGCCTGAGGGGACCTGAGGCCTGTTGGGAACAGGTACCCAGCAAGGGGCAGAGGTGTTGACCTTACAAAGCACGATCAAGAAGGAAAGAAAGCAGTGCTCTTGGGGCGGAGATAGGGCTGGACTGCCTGGTACAAGAAAGTTACTTACAGAATACAGTGAAATGGAAATTTGAGGTGGGGGCAGCCGCCAGGCTGGAGGCACTGTGCAGTGAGCTTACCCAAGATTTAAGGAATTCTGTATAAGGAGATGAGCCCAAGAGGATAGAACCAGCAAAGATTTCAGACCATGGTTCTGTTCATTTACAATGAACACAAGGTAGCAGGTGTGCTAAGGAGTTGGGAGAAATGAACAAAACTTTGGATTGGGCTGTGCAGGGTTGTCAAGAGAAGCTCAGGGAATGATGTATGACACTTGCATCAGGGAGGTTGATGGAAGATACCTCATGCTTTCTGGCCTCCTGCACATGCTGTTTCCTTAGTCTGGAATGACCTTTCCCTAGTTTTTCTGGCTCATACTTTTTAAGCCTCAGCTTGGGCATTTCCTTCTCCAGGAAGACTTCTCTGGCTTTACTACTCCTCCCTACCCCATCCAAGTGGGCCAGAGGTTCCCACACCACCCAGTACTTACTCTGTTTTTGTTTCTTTGGTTTTTAAAAGATTTTATTTATTTATTCATGAGAGACACACACACACAGAGAGAGGCAGAGACAGAGGCAGAGGGAGAAGCAGGCTCCACGCAGGGAGTCCGATGTGGGACTCAATTCCACGACCGCGGGTTCACGACCCAAGCCAAAGACAGACGCTCAACCGCTGAGCCAGCCAGATGTCCCCCCCAGTACTTACTCTGTTGTCTGCTAAACTGGCTCCCTACTAGTCATGGCTGTCTTCTATTCCTCTTGTATTTCTAGGCCCTAGTCCATTACCCAGCACGGTGTAGGGCTCAGTGAAGCCTGCTCATTGTGAGGACAAGAAATGCACAAGTAAGAGTTTGGAACAGGGAAGTTCTGGGGCTTTCTGGTTCTAAGTGCCCAAAATCCTAGAGCAAACTCCAAAACAGAAGCTCCGCAGGACATTAGGAGGACACCGGGCACCACAATCAGCCAAATCCTGCTCTTTAAACCCGGTTCAAAGCCAGAGTGCCAAGGGCTATGGGGGTCTGTGGCATTGACTGCTTGGGGCTGACAGAGTTGGTTCTTCCACTCTAGAGCTAGACCTTGGATGGAATCAAGGAAAATAGTGAAGGGGTGAGTTTCCTCAGGAGACTGCCACTCCAGAGGAAGCAGGGTAATAGGGAGGGAGAATTTCAGGGCTGGAACAGGGGGAGAGACCTGCTCAGAGCACAGGAAGCAGGGGCAAACCAAATACCGTCCAAGACTGTTAGGAAGATCACAGAGAAGGAGGGGTAAGAATGTGCTTTGTAAATTGGGATATGATATACTACAGGGAAATGGGCTTAGATTGGAGTCCTCAGACTATTTTTCTTTTTCTTTTCTTTTTTTTTTTTTTTGCCAAAATACTGCATTAAAAAAACAATAAGAATTAGGATATTCTAAAAGCCGCCCAGTGTGATCTGTATTCTTCCAACTTTTCTAAAACATAGCAGCATTTATAGACTCACATTGTAATTTCAAGTGCTTTACTCAGCCCTCTTTCCCAGAAACTACTATACGTCGCTAGAGAGAGTTGCCCATGTGTGCTAGTAAATGCTTAACAGCTAACTCTTTAGATGGAAAAAGGCAAAGAAAAGATGTTGGCATTTGCCAATTTCTGTGGTGTAAATACTCCTGCCTTGGCTGATTTCAAGCTATCAAGGGGCAGGCACTGAATCCAGTTGGAAAAAGATGTGGATACAAGCCAGCTCCATCACGCCGCTGGCTCTAAGACATACATCAACATCCATCCTGGCTTCCTATGTACACAAGCTGGAGATGGTGACTCTGCACCTACCTCTCTCAAAGGAATTTTTTATGTCATTGACTTCGACCTGAGATCCTGGCACTCGGAAGATCCCTTGCTGTTGGAGTCCTAAAAGAAACAAACAAAGAGAAAATGCCATAATGCCTGGAGCTCATCTGACCACTGGGCACATCGATGACCCTCCCCACTGCCTGTCTCTTTCTCCCACCACTCTTTACAGGAGTCATTCCCAATAAAGATCTCCTGGCAGAAGCCCAAAAGTAGCCTTTGCAATGAATTTCAGCTGGCCCCAATACTCTGAGACATCCTGCTTTATGTGTCTGTGACTTCTTGTTGGGGTTTGAAGGAAAAGGCCACGAGAGGTTTATATCAACATGGAACCAGTGAATAACTTCCAATTTGGCCAAGATGCACTTTGCCTACCAAGTTCACCAGGTACACTGGCACCAAGTAGCTTGGCCTGAGTTTACAAATGCCATTTCAGTCTAACAGCCATAGAGTTTTTGAGCAAGAATGATCAATACCATACACTCAACCATTCCCACCCCCTACCTATACAGATATTTTCTTCCTTTCAGGAAAGCTTGAGTCTAGAGCTTGTGGGTCAAGGGGCTTGGGGACATTAAATTATTAAGGAAAAGAAATCTTTGTGTGTCATGTGTGTGTGTTTCTACAAAGCCATAATAAGGAGGAGACCCTGATACCTGACATAACAGTAACAACACAGGATTGGAAGCTACAGGACTGAACAGTAACCTATAGAATTAAAGGAATTAAAGGGGCTATCCCATCTTGAATGGGAATTCATGGGCATGGGGTGACTGATCTTTCCCCTCGCATTCAGTTTTTCTATATAAAACAACTCTCCAAAAATATAAAATAAAAATAAAATAAAATAACTCTCACATTATAATTTAGAAAAGTGTTTACTTCTAAATGGCTTTATTCCTAGTTTGGTTTGTACATAGTATGTGCTTTAAAAAAGCTTTTTTATGTCTTTCCCTAAGCAATATTGAATCTCTACCACCTGTGTCTTTTATCCCATCCTCCTAGCTCATTCCCATCAAGTCATACTTCCCTTCCTTCCCATATTAGACCTTTACACTTGCCGTGTAACGGCTGGCTTCTTCCACTCAGATGTCACCCCCACAGAGCTGTCTTTCCTTACCACCTTAGCCAAAACAGCCCTACTACCCTCCAGCCATTCTTTATCCCCTTTTCATTCAGTTTCTTGGCATTATCACTACCTGAAATTTTATTATTTCTCTGTTTAATTTCCTTGCCTTTCTAATTGGTAATGTAAGCTGCCTAGGGCCCGTACCTTACTGTCTTATTCATGCTTATACTCTCATTGTCAGAACAGTGCCTGCTATGCACTCTGAAAATACATTTTTGGAGGAGTGAATGAATGAATAGATGGAAGCACAAAGGAAGTTCTGGGATACCAAGGTTAGCAAATCCCAGACACTCTTATTTCCTTAATGGAACTTAGTAGAGTCAGTGAACTGACTGATTGCCCAGCTACATTCAGTATGCAAAACACAGACCTCTAAGGTCAGCTGGGAGACACGAAGGAACTGAAATGGTTCTCCTATCCAGGCCCTCCCTGATCCTTGTTTTTTTCAGTTTCTGGGTCTTCTCACCACCACCTTCATCCCCAGACATACAAGGCTCAAAAGAGCACTCAGCATAGCAGCTGTGCCAAGAAGTGTTTTCTCTCTAGGAAGCAGGGGAGTAACAGGAAATCTTCCAAGATGAATTAAAATCTCATTTCCTATGAGAACAGCCCAGCACCTGTTCTGGAGAAAGCTGAAAACACTGCCCCAAGATTGAGCTTACCATATAAATTGATGTACCGGATGCAGCTCTCGACTACAAGCGGTATAGCTTGTCCTGAATCCTTAAGGAAAAAAAAATTGTGAGTTGTACTGGGCTTGGCAACCAACACAGGAAAAAAGACATTGCAAACACAGATAATAAACTCAAGCCAGAATATTAGTACCATCAGATTAGTAGGAAAATAAGCAAGGAACTGCTAATCCTAAAGTCTCCACAAACAGGTAAAATAGAAAACCTTCAGTTATGTGCAGAAAAAGGCATAGCTACGATAATTTTCAAGAAATGCTCTGTCTTCTTACTTAGCTAGGAAGAAATCAGGGCTCAGAAGGCTTGACAGGCACATCTGGGAGGGGGAGGAAGCCACTGCCCAGGGAGGGGCTGGCGTTGGCTCCTGAAGAACGCTCTGCCTTCCTCTCCACTCTGCCCCCGCTCAACCCTATCCTCTCAGTGCTCAAGGATAAAAAGGCAGGATCAAGGCCTCCTTCTAGCACTGTAGTACCTGATGCTTGAAATAAGAACACACTATGGGAAGCAAGGATGGCCCCAAGGGTCCTTTTGAGCTCTGAGAAAGGGGGCCGAGTCTCCTCATGGGGTTACAACCTAAACATCCAGGCAGATACTTTGTTTAACAATAAATGTGTTACAAGGGAAAGTACTAGGAACAGCTAATGTGAGCCACTGACCATTGAATGGCCAACTTAGTCAAAATTGCTGAATAAGATGCAATTCTAAACATACACATGGGGGGGGGCAGGGGATGAGTGTATTTTCAATTACATTTTCCTAGATGGGCCTGTGGCCATTAAGAGTTGGGCAAGGGCTAGTTTTCTCTTGGATTCCGTGATTGGTTGACCTATTCTTCCGGGTCACTTAAAGAGCCCAAAATCTTTCTTAAACTTTCTTTAAAAGGGGCCAAATTAAATTACTAACCTCCTCAGGCGAGGAAACAGCAAGGCACACGTAGTATGTTCTTGCAAAAGGACAGAAAAAAAAAAAACAACCCACGAATTTCGGTGCCTTTGCAGTTCCTCCACACCCCACCTGTGAACTCTCTCCTTGGTTAATGACAGTCAGGGGGAGAGGAGGATAAAATGGACCCTGAGGCGACACACGAGGTGGGTCCTGTTCTAGAAGTCAGTACTACAGACAGGTTCCATCCAGCTGAATGGGGCTAACGGACCTTTCTAGTAAATACCTGGTTCCTGGTTCGAGCATTTCTTCTTCCTCTGATAACAAAAAATAAACAGGCAGCAGAGCAGGAGAAAAAGAAAAGATTACGCAGGAGTAAGATCAGTTAGAGTAAGCAGATCCTTCAGAGTCCGTGAACGCGGAAATGCAATGGCAGCCAGCAACGGTCCTGGGGGGACTGCCAACCAGCCTGCTGGTGGGGAGGGCCACCCCTGCCCTCAGGGCCACCTAAGAGTCTGCACCCTGCCCCTGGCCAGCCTGCTGGTGGGCCTGCCATGGATACTGGGTGGCAAAGGGGCCTCTATCAATCCTTGTCAAGCACAGGGATGGTGTGTACTGAGCACCTTCCTGATCCCACCTTTAGCTTCTCCTTGACACAGGGGCTGTTCATTCACCAATGGGCAGGGGCCTACCTAAGACCCCCTAAGGTTAGCACAGCTATCCACAAGAAGGAGGGACACACACCTTCAGGCATCTACTGTGACACTGTCCCTGGAAGTCAATTCAGGAAACCTCACTCTTAGTACAAAGCTGATTTCACCAAGATTGTGTCTATTGGGTGCCCTCTGGATACAATCTGACAGGGATCTCCCTGCTTCCAAATTCAAACAGCTTCCCATGCTTTCCTACCAAACACCCCGGGTAGCTTTTCCTGGGTCTCCATTGGCTCTGCTCTCCTTCTTACTCTCAGTGAGAACACTTCAGGGAACCCCAAAGCTGAGAAAGGCCTGGGAGGAGGGAGGACAGTAGAGCCAAAACGCTTTTAGGATCTTGCAGGTAGAACTGGAGCCTTTACTTTCACTAAAGCCAACGAAGCTACCCATTTTCAGGGGAGCCCTGTGTGTTCTTTCTCCCACATGTGCAGCAGGTCAGGCTCTGGGGTGGGAGCTACATATCATCCAGGCTCCTTGAGAGGCTGACCTGAGAAAGTGAGGGTGTGTACCTTCTGGCTGGTGTCATCTGTCCAGTCCCCATCATCTCCACAACTGGAATTAATATGTTGGCTAAACCTACCTGAATCCTAGAACTGAACAAAGAGTCTATCAGATGAGACTCTATGAGCAATCTCCTAAAAGCTAGTGACCACAGTAATGGCCAGCATTTCCATAGTACTTACTCTATGCCAGGAGCACTCTAGAAACATGGCACATATTAGCTCATTTGATCTCGTCACACACTCATAAGGAAGGTAATCAATATTCTCATCTTACAGAAACACGGTGGGGAATTCTCACTCCCAAAATTTATGATAACATTTAAATGGACTTTAAAATTTAAAAGAAAAATTGCGTTTTCTTCTGAGAAGGAAAAAAAAATCAAGGATTCTGAAAAAGGCCAATTCCAAGTATTCTAGAAATCCATCAACATATCCGTCATTCTTAAGTTGGGGATGTTCTCCTGGCCCACTAAACGCTCATAATCACAGAGTTCCAGCAACGTCATTTTACTGAAAAGCCGTTCACAGGTTTGACATTTCAAAGCTGGGCATTCTCCTTTCATGCAGAGTCTTCAAGAGAAAATTCAATTCCATTCCCAAACGTTGAAGGATTGAATATATTATATGACTGCCTTTCCACTGTCTCTGGAAGCTAACCATCCTTGAGGGTGAGACCCTGCTACGCGCGAGTTACACTCTTCTCGTGGAAGAGTTTGTTGAACTGCCCTGACGGTATGTGGTAAAAGTGCAGTGTGACCATAAAGAAATGCACTTGTGTTTAACAGATACACCATTTTTCTTTTGATTTTTTTAGTCAAATAAGTGTTTATCCTTTCACCTAGTCCCTTGAGGGTACTAAGTGTGCACTTACTCCAACCACATGACCCGTGCTAAGTGGCTTTTGAGAGCCAGTCAGCCAGCACCCCCGTAGCATATGCCTCTGGCCATTCTGTCCCTTCAGTGGTGTTGCAAAGCTGAAGTGAATGACCTTTTTCCTTCCAATGGCCAGGATGCCCATTCTAATATGAGGTTTTGGCACCACTGACCAGGGCCACGCATCAGGCTCTAAGGAAGACTGACCAAGGGCACCAATGATGATATATTTAGAATAAGAATGTGGCTTCCCAAGTGACTACCTCCTCCAAGGGGCAAACATGGTTGAAGCTGTGACGTGTTTATCAAGGGCGATAAAGTCAGACTTTCTGACAGTCACACATTCTATGTAGGAGCTCTCTAATAAAAGACTGTTTCATTAAGCAGAACACCTAATTCTCAAGTCCCGTTGGGTAAGAGTCAGTTCCTTCCAAGTGCCCTGATGGATCATCTGTCTCCAAAGAGCTGAGCAAATTCAGGAAGGCATGTCTGTCTCTGAGCCTTCATTCACTGTTTCTCCTTTCAGGGACTCCTGTCCTGCTCCTTCCCCTCTACTCTGTTCCCATCCTTCCCTCAAAGCCTCACCAGCAGCCTCCTGTGCTCTGGGGCTCCTGGCTCTTCTTGCTCTGAGCACTCACTGCACCTGCTTCCATGCGGAGTTCACAGTGTGCTCGTCCCGGATAGCCTATTCTTTCAGTTTTCTGTGCTGAAAACCTCCTAAGCATAAGCTACACTCCTTGGGAGCAAGGAGAATAGCCAATGTGCACCTCAGTCCCCTCTCAGCTACGGAGAGTGGCTTTTCCCAGGACAAGGGGGAATGAGAAGAAGCCTTGGTGGCAACAGAAGGGGAAGAAAAGGAAAGAAGGACTCTTGACTCAGTTGTATCTTCCCATGACCTATTGGAATGCAAATTGCTCCCTGGGGGTCCCCTCCAAACAGTACCTCTTTCCTGATGCACCCAGTGGTACCCCTCCTTCTGGGATCCTCTGTGCCTCACTCCTCTGAGGTGGCCTAAAGCAGCTCTTGCTGGTGCCCACCCCTGGATGGTCCTGACTGGTGCCCTACTGTTCCACCACCCCCTGCCCCTCCTGTCCCTTCCCCAGACCTCAGCCCGCAGGCAGAGACAGCTGTGCAGCCCCAGCTGCTGGCCCTGCCCACAGTCCCATGCATGCCCTCTGCCCTCCCTCACCCCCATCCTGCAATTCCTGTGAACAGTGTGTCAGGACAGAGGAGCGAGTGTCTGGGAGGGGCAGCCTCCACGACTCCAAAATCGCCAGTAAAGTCCAAGAGCATTTACTTTCCTCCTGACTGACACCAGTTATCCTTTCTGCAGAAAGTGTCTTCACTGGAAAATGGAGGGCTCTCAAATAACTGGCAGAGACCTCCCCCCCTGTTCCCCCTGACTCATGTTCCTCAAGCATCTCCCCCACTTGTCACCTTTTGCAACTCTATGGCCAGCTTCAGTTGCCTTGGGTCGTTCATTCTATCTGGGATGCCTCGATCCTGTGCCCTTAGCGTCCAGGAGACAAGAGAAACTTCCTGGGCTGAAACACTTTCATTTTTAGTTTAGGATGTACAGGGTTAATCTGGAATTCTTAAGGGACTACCTCTGCTCTTCTCTTTCCTCTCAAAATGCTTAACAAGAAGCAAAATAAGGTAGGAGAGTTTTCTCTCAAAAAAATTTTATGTGTTTCCTTTGCCGGTATATTCTCAACCAAAAAATACTTGTATAAAAACACACTGCTACCCAAGAGATTTTCTTTGTGTTGCTTCCAACCAATCTCTTGGGAGGTGTGGATGTGAAGCGAGGTAAGGTGGTTTCTCTAAGTGTCCCTGGGCCTAGCTAGGACCACAGTCACTGAAGCAGGAGAGCATGGCTGGTGGGGGGACCACTGCGCTGGCATCTCAATCCCACCTGGACTCCTTGGGCTGCATTGTGATCTTATCCCTCCCCTGGGGCTGAGGATCACAGGAAAGCACTTAGGATCAACTGGTCAGAGACAAAAGCAGCTCTGCCTTTCAGAAGCCCTCACTTAAAGCTAAGAGCAGGCTGCAGTGAGGAACTAGCTTGCCCCAGGGCCTGGCCCAGGGCACAATTGAAAGGTCCGGTTGGTTCAGGGCAGGGCTGTTGGCCGAGGGGAGGAGGTGGAGAAAGGCTGCCATTACATTGGGTGCATTCGCGGACTCCGTGGCTCCCCAGCAAGTACCTTAATAAACGCTTCCATACAGCCGTTAAATAGTTTATGGCTACACACTGAGAGAGGCCTAGGTCTCCTCATTTTCTGTGGTTTAGGGGGAAGACAGGGGGGCCTAGGGAAAACGGAACAAAAGAAATCAAGAAAGCAACCAACGCAAACATACAACTGGGAAAGACGCTCTTAAAACCCATGACTGGAGGAGAACACAAAATGCAAATGGAAACCCCTGAGCCCCCAGCACATTGGTGTCCAATGCTCCATCTGAAGGCCTTTGGATGTTTACAGGGATCTTAATTTACCCACAATGTCAGGCAGGAGCAACGCTCGTGTAACACAAATGCATTCTAGATCACAAGAGGGAAATAGTATGTATCCAGGAAACCACTGCAACTCCAATCAGAGGCTGTCATCCCGCAAAGCTGACCAGATGGAGGAGGAACCAGGGGAGAGAGGTGTAATCTGCAGCCTGAGAAAGCAAGAGACTTTCAATGATGATTGGAAGGGTTAATTTTCATTACTTGGCTTAAATTCATCACCAAGTCTCAGCTCCCAATGTACCGTGGTACTGATCTTTCTAATGCCTCTCGGCATTTCTAATGCACTTGACTAATCTTTATTTCATTGATCTAAGAGCCAGGCAATTATTATTCTCATTTTAGAGATGAAGAAATTGATTCCTGGAGGGAGGTTACAGCTTTTTTGGGGTCCCCAGGTGACCTGGGGGTGATGATTATATCCTGTGCTTTAGTCAAGTACACTTTTGATTAAGGCACTTTCAAATCTATCATTACACTTAATGTCAGCTCACTCCTGTATGGACACCCCCATTTTACAGAGGCAGACGCTGAGGCCTAAAGAGGGGAGCTGGCAGTGTCAGGCCCCAAACTCAGGCCTCATTGGCTCCAATGCCAAGATTTTTCCCACCAGACCAGTCATGGAGCCTGAGACCACTTGCTCACTTCCAGCCAAGGACTCATTCCATCCCATTAACCCTTGCCAGTGGAGGACCTGTTGGGTCAGGTTGAAAGTGTCTTGCTTTACTTGAGGATCTCCATTCCCTGGGCTCCACTCTTGGCTCCAGGGAGGGGAAACCATACCACAGTTCATCAGGAACAGTCAAACAGCCACAAACACTGGACCAGTTTCGAGTTGCTCACCATGCATATACCTGTGTTGGCTTATTTGCTCATCTTTCGCCACCCAAGTTGGCCTGACTCAATGCTGCCAGCCTTCCAGGGCAAAGGGCTTTCTGAGGTTAGGAGGAGGCCCCCTAACTGGGAGAGGCAGTTCATTTTCAAATGGCTTGGTTCACAATTTGGGGAGCAACAAGTGGGGACCCAGCCTGGCACAGATAATGTCCACACGTGACAAGCAAAGACCTGGTCCCCCAAGTCTTGACTGATTTCTGTGAATGGGCAAGAAATCTCATGGATTGTGGAGCCAATCAAGGTGAAGGAGATTCATGCTGCCTCTGCTCACTGGCTTTGTTGTGTGTCTTCTTCAGTGGCCCAGCCATCTAGGGAAATCTCATCAGCTTCTCCTACATGTTTGAGTATTGAGCAAATGCTGCTAGCTCCAGGACATGCATGGGCAAAGACACAGCTGAATCCAAATATCATGCCACCCAAACATTGGAACCAAAATAACAGCACAGACCAAAATTTTAAAAAGAAACAACAGGCAAGACCATTTCGAGCCCATCTTGGATCTATGTCAATTTGGTTAGCTAAGTCCTTTGTCATTTCTTTGCCATCGGTTACCGATATTTTGAGGATGTGGGTATGTAGGGGTTGTATTTTTTACAGTGGATCTGCTTTTGAGTTTCCAAATGCCAAGAGAGAGTGTGAAGAAAAGAAAAAGATGTGACACAAGGCCACAGGTTTTAAGTCTTAGGATTAGGAATAAATTGAGGACAGCAAATGTGCCGTCTTGTCTCCCTCAGGTTTAGGGTTTCTATTTGTGAACATTCTCAGATGGTTTCCTTATCTCACACTACATGATACCCTCACAATGACCCTGTGAGGTAGGCGAGACTTATTAAGTCTACTTTAAACATAAGGCAAATGAGCCCATGAGAGATTAAGAAACTTTCCAAGAGTCACACCATAACATGTAATTGCAGCTGAGAGCTGAATTCAGCTCTTCCTCCTTAAGATTCTGGTGTGAATGTGAAATTGGGAAGTTGATTTTATCACAGAACATCCAGCAGTTGCTTTAAGTTACCTGTTAAACTCCCCTGGCCAGCAAAAGTAGAGATTATTAACGCAGGTGTTGGACACCCAATAAAAAAAAAAAAAAAAAAAAAAAAAAACAAAAACAAAAAACAAACAAAAAACCTAGGGTGCCCAGCTGGAGGGTTTTCTTAAAATAAGTCTTCAGGAATTTTTTTTTCTTTAAGTTTACAAAATGGAATGAAGAGGGAAAAGGATACTTTTCCCATTTCTCCTGTTCAATCCAGAAAGCAAAGACTATTCAAATCACACTGGGATTTCTTTCCTTGTGTGGTGTTCTGGGTACTGACTGGAAATCTCTGACAAGGAAACGTAGCTATCCCAACTTTGCAGACATCACATCGATTTTGACTTACTGAGGTGCTGGGTGGGGCACAAAGCGGGGAGCAGGGGGGCAGCTCAGCCAAGGAAAGTGGGGCAGCCTAAGCCTTCCATCTCTTCTGCTGCTCAGTTGCAGAGCAAAAAGGAAAGAAAGAGAGAGGCAGGGAAAACAGGAACAGAGAAAGCCACAGAGAGGAAGAGAGAGAAACCAGAGACCAATGTCCCCTTTCTGCCTTTCAATCAAGATGAAAATTAACATACATTGGCAACATAGGAATTGGCCTCAAAGTTATTCTGTGATCAAAAGGACAGTGACTAAAATATTCCCTACATAAACCGAAAGAGGTGGGTGTTAACATCCAAAATGGTGGCAATGTTGTAGTTCATTGGCAGTTGGGCCCTTGGAAGCTGTGCATGGGTATCTGTCAGGTGCATCTGTCTAGACAAGAAATCTCATGTGCTTTCACCACTAATCCCAACCACAGGGACAAGCTACCCTGGGTTAGGGAAGCCAGTCTGGAGTTAGAATAATCACAATCAAAGCTTATGTTTGCAACTTACTGTGCCATTTATCACATACTTTTCAAGTGCATTATTGCATCTGGTCCACCTAGCTACAGGGTTATGAATTGGGATTATTCTAAGATCAGGTTCTTAAATGTGAGGAAAAAAATGTAACGTGTTGCAGCCCACGTGCAAAAATCAGTCTGTCTACACAAGGCCAGCAGCAAACGTGGCTGAAGGGACCTGCTCAAAGGATCATCCAAATGACGCTAACCTTGGGCAGGAAACCATGGAAGACACAGAGAGCCGTAGCATAGAAACATCTCACTCAGGGCCTTTAGGATTAAATTAAAAACCACTTCAAGTTGGCAGCGCATTGCAGACAAGTTTTAAATAATTTTTGGAAGTAAGGGGAAGCTTTTAGTTTACTAACAAAGTTGCCTCTGACCTTGGCCAAGGGCCAGGGTATAGATGGCTGGGTTTGCAGTTTAGTGTAGTATATCTAAGTGGGAGGTCTGTAGTTGCAGCTTGCATTTCCCAGGCCCTTGGTCAAAGAGGGTGTGGAAGACTAAATCTCAGAAGGCTTTATTTAAAAATTTAAAAAATAAAAATAAAAACAACCCTAAACTTTTCTCTGAGGTAGACCTTGGGACCTGGCCAAGGGTTCGATTACAGATCTCTCCTGCAATCTGCTGGAACCATCTTCCTTTGCATGAGTTCTAGGAATTAAGAGGAAGTGAGGGATGGCTCAATTCATCCCCCATCTGTTTTCCTATTTGCAGACTTTGGTGTAAAATGTGGCTTCTGTTGTTTGGGGACTATGACAACATTCTTTTGCCAGGAAAACTAAATAAATTAATTAGTTTGTTTCTGAAAGGTTCTTAGAAAGTGACCCTGCACATCTGCTGACCCTTGTGCTGGAAGGTCCTTGCCTGGCATTGTGAATCATCCTGATATTCCCAGACTGCCAGGGCCCAGAAGAACAGCTGTACAGCTAAGCTTCTGGAAAGCCCTCTGTCTCCCCCATCCTGGGCCCGGCAAAGTGAAAACCTTGGAGCTTTCCAAGCCTCTTCCCAGCCAGCTCTCTTCCAGATGAGCAGGAGGGAGTTGAGGGTTCATCTTTTCCCTTGCCAAGTTTAACAGCTTTCCAGGATTCTGGGCCACTGGCTCAATTTGTGTTGGGCAGTGGGATAACTATTTGCTGGGAACTCGAAAGGAAAGAGATGGACCCTAAGGAACAACCAGGGCAGCAATAGGACTGCATATGGATCTAAACACTCTGAAAGAAGAGGAAAGGTCCAGTTGTTCAAAGTCAACCCCTCAGCTACCAGCTGCTGAGTGGAAAGTATTCACTGGCTCTGGTCTGCTCAGGGAAAAGCGCAAAGGGTAGGGTTTGAGCAAGCTGGAGAGAAAGCAGAAGTTGCCCATTTGTTATTTTCTTAGCAAGGGACTCCCCCATCAGTCCATCCAAGTGTCTAGGAGGTCTGAAGCCAGGGTGCGGGCAGTACGGGTATCTGTGCACGCTTATGTGGCTGTGCGCATGCATATGCCCAGTTGTGTGCCATAACGAGCCAAATCCAAAGCCTTGGCAAAAGAGGACCCCAGGCTGGGCTGTCTGCCTAGGCTGGGCAGCTTGCTCAGCAGCCATAGAACAGATGGGGAGACAGGTCAACGGCTACCCCACAGCCTCTGGCCTCTACTGGTTGTCCTCGGCCACTCCACAGTATCTATTACTGTCCCACCAGAGGGAAGGCGCCAACAGAACCAGACCCTGCTTTCCCACAGCGGCTGAGAAAGGCGCCCTCCCCATCACTGGCCTGTAGGGGGTCGTGGCTTCACCAGCATGAGGCTAGGACAAGCAGAACAGCCAGCTTTCTCTCTCAGCACAGCCACACCATCCCCCTGGAGACACTGGGGAAGAGCTATCCCACTCTAAAAGCAGCCCAGCTTCTCTGAGCTCCCACCCTCCCGCCTTCCCACCTCTCTGGCACCCCCGCCCCCTCCCATACCCCACCCTCAGGCAGCAGGTGCAAAAAAACAAGATCCCCAACTCTTACCTGGTTGTGCCACATTCTGCTCTCTCCCCTGGAAAGAAAAGTACACATTGATGTTTAATCGTTTGTTGTTGTTGTTGCTGATTTTAACCAGCAAACATTCATCTTTTTCTAAAGACAAGAAACAACTGAACTTGATTATTTGCAAAATGGGAGATCTAATTACGCCTAAGTAATGGTCTGCTGGAAAGAACTGAGTCTTATTAAATCCCCAGGGCCTCCTATCTGTAAGGCTATGTTCACATAAATTTCATTTTGTATTGTTCACATACATTTTTTTTTCAGTGATTTTTCTAACTGCAGCCTGCTGGCCACTTGCATAGAATCTTCTGGGAACCTTAGTAAAAATGCAGATTTGGGGGCTTTCCCATGGGCCTCCTGAATCAGAGTCTCTGAGCTAAGAAGACAGGAATCTGCATTTTTAACAAGTCCTCCAGGTGATCCCTTTTGTGCATGCCAAAGCTCAAGAACCCACTCGCTGCTTTCTATCAACAAAGGTTGGTTAGAGTGTCCCTCATATGTGTGGCCCTGAAGAGCAGCAGCCATAAGACACCTCTTGCTGTTCCTAAACCAGTCACACCCCTGCCCCCACACCCCTCCTGCCTTCATTCCCACTTGAAGATCTTCCTGCTTCCTTCACTGGAAAAGAAAATCAGTAAGACAGATCTTGGCATGCCTCCGTAAGACGCACTCACCTACATGTGCCTGCCTGTCCACCCTCTACCTCTTCTCCTCTCCAGTATTCTGGAGAAGCGTCCCGATTCTGTCAAGACCCAGCCCTCGTTGTGCTCTGGGTCCCAGCCCCTCTGCTGTTCTCCGGGGCTCTGTTTCTGCAGGTGCCCCGCCCCCTTCCCTGATTATCACCAATCTCTTTTCTTCTGGATCCATTTCCAACAGCATATAAACATGTTCTAGAATCACCAATCTCTTTTCTTCTGGATCATTTCCATCAGCATATAAACATGTTCTAGATAGGTATAACCTAGCTTTGAAGCCTCCCCTGGGCCCCCCTTTTCCCTCTAACTCCATCCCTTTTTCTCTCCTTTACAGCAAAGCCTGCTGAAGGAGCTGTCTGGGAGGCATTGTTGCTTCCCTTGTTCACCACACTGAGGTTGGCTTCTGGCCTCACCATCCACAGAGCCTGCCTGTTCCGTGTGGCCGAGTCCACTGTCTTCTCTGCCCTTCCCTGATTTCTCAGCACCATCACCTCAGCAAATCGCTCTCTTCCTCTTACAAAGCTTTCTCCTTGATTTTCACAACCCTGCATGTGCCCAGTGTCCCTCCTGCCCTCCAGGCTGTTCCTCGGTTTCTCTTGCTGTCTCCTCACCTCCCCAGGCTCTGACCTCTAAAGGAGGGGATGCCCTCGGAGGTGTACCTGAACAGATCTCTTCCTACACACCCTCTCTGGGTAACCTAAGTGCTTACCAAGGACTCCCTAAATCTTATCCCCAGATCTTCTATTTCCCTGGAACCCCAGACTACTGGCCACTGCCTTCTTTTGAACAGCTCTATCAAAGCATAATTTACACAGCATAAAATTCACCCATTTGAAATGTATGATTCAGTTATTTAGTAAATATTCAAAGTTATGCAACCATCACCACAATTCAATTTTAGAACACTTCCTTCACACAAAAAAGATCCTTTCTGCCAATTCACAGCCACTCCTTCTTCCCATCCCCAGTCTATGGTAACTGCTAATCTACTCTCTATGTCTATGGATTTGTTGATTCTGGATATTTTTATAAAAATGGAATCATGTGGGGTGCCTGGGTGGCTCAGTCAGTTAAGCGTCTGCCTTCGGCTCAGAGTCCTGGGATCGAGCCCCACATTGGGCTCCCTGCTTGGCGGGGAGCCTGTTTCTCCCTCTCTCTCTGCCTGCTGCTCCCCCTGCTTGTGCTGTCTCTCTGTCAGATAAGTAAATAAACTCTTTTTAAAAAATGGAATCATGCAATCCACAGTCTTTTGCATTTGGCTGATTTCATTTAGCATATGCTTTTGAGGTTTATCCATACAGCACGATTCAGTACTTCATTCCTGTTATGGTGCAGCAGAGAATCTCTAGGCCAGAGCTGTCCAATAGAAATATAATGTAAGCCACAATTTCTAGCAGCTACGTTACAAAAATCGAAGAGAAATAAGTGAGATTAATTTTAATAACATATTGTATTTAACTTAACACATGAAAATGTCATTTCAACATATATCAATATAAAAACTCATAAAATATTTTTTTGTATTAACTCTTTGAAATCTGGTATTCATTTTACACATCCTAATTCAGACTAGCCACGTTTCAAGTGTTGGATAGTGGCCGCATACTGGATAGCTCGACTCTAGAGTCCCATCCAGCATTCACATGAAAGGACTTTTTAGAAGAGAGATCTGAGTATTTATGTTCTCTACAGAAAACAAGACTGAATGAGAACAGGGACAGAAATGAGGGGAAGAAGAGAGGAACAGAGGTCTGAAAATAGAACCTGAAGGGAATCAACACACAATCCTGACCAATGCCACAAGCAGTTACAAGAGTGACTGCAATTAGTTGAAATGAAGCCAAAGACCAAAGCAGGAAAGGAGAAAAGTTAGGCAAAATGGAAATATCTCTTCTGCTTACTGTGATTATGTGTCTGGAGCCTCAGTCAAATTCCCACCAGATGTCAAGTGACAGTTTCGCATAGACCTAAGACCTCGAGTTGCAGCTAATGCAACCCATGAAAGAGGTCAGCCAATGGCCTGTACTATCAAGCACACCATTTCCTATAGTTAGCTACAGTTAGCTGTAACTCTGACTCCATAGGGAACCTGTGAGGTGTTTCCTGTTCCACCCTCTCTTGGTCCCAAAATCACACAACCCTCTACGTGCTCGCTATGGTCCAGCCACACTGCCCTCCTTTTACTTCTGACTCACTGTGTTCCTTCCCAGTTTCACACACGCTGTTCCCTCTGCCCTGACACTCTTTCCTTCATCCTTCCATCTCTGCTTGAATGTCACTCCCCTCTAAGGCCTTCCTGCTTACCCAACCTAAAGCAAGTCTCCCCTCCTGCGTCCCATCCCCACCCCCATATACACAGTTGTCCTCTATCTCCATTCATGACACTTACCACGGTTATAATTCTTTATTTAGTAGTTTGTTTACTGTTTGGGGTCTGCCTTCCTCATGAGGGCAGGAGCCTTGTCTGTCTTATGTTCACTGTACCCCCAGTCCTGGCTGAGCAAAGCACCTATGCTTTTGGATAATGAATGGACAGATAAGGGCAGGAAGGGAATAAGTGGGGAGGGATGAATCTAAGCATTCAAGTCCTGCAGCGGAATGTCAGAAATGCTCAAGGCAGACTTGTCCCTAGCACAGAATTGAACATATTCCCCTTCAGCTTTAAACTCATATTCTAGCTCTCAAGAACCACATGATCAACATCTTTTGGAATCTGTTTTCTCAACTTGTAGCAAATATCGGAAATCAAAAATTTTCTACCCTTCACCTCCTGAGATCTGTTGGGATTTTTAAAAACATATTTTATAGTTAGTGGCTCAGTCATTTTCAGAAGGGTCAGACTGTCTGGTCCTGGTGGACACTGGCTCCATAATGTGCTATTAAATCTTGGTCTGAAAAGGTTATGTCCCATTCCTTTTATAGACGATGTACTATGCATTCTTGAAGAGCTATAGTAAACTGAAAAGCCACTCGTATATTGGTTATAAACCCTGGAGCTTACAGACTACCCAGAGCAGTAAAAAGGTCAGAGATCTAAGATTCAGACATGATGATAAACTAAGAATCCTCTGGCCAATAAAACAGCATAGCAACAGCCAAGGGGCATATAGGGGTGTGTTCTTGTTTCCAAGATGTGGCAGTGACACAACAAGGAATGCTGATTCACAGGACACCTAGAAGCTTTTTGACTTGTGTGTCTGGGATCAACCATGTTAAAAAATTTGCTTCTAAGTGAGTGCAACTCAAAAGACCTTGTGTTTCCACTAACTCGTGGCTTCTCTGAACTATGCTGTCAAAACAGTCCTTGAGAGAAATGGATTACATGATAAATTTCATTTTTTTTTAAAGGCTTGTATAAGATGAGCACGGGTGTTCTATGTTGGCAAATTGAATTTAAATATTTTTAAAAGAAATATATTTTTAAAATAAAATAAAAAATGATAAAAAAAAAATAAAAAGGCTTGTAACTTCTCAAAGTATTCTGCTTGGCCATGGATTTCTTACCTGTTTCCAAAATTTCCAGAGTGTCCCTCCCAATACAAAATAGCCCTCTGAGGACATAAAAAGTCTACTGGTGCAGGTGTAACCCTACCCCAGCCCACTCCCAGAAGAGCTTACTACTGAATGGAAGAGTCAGTGTGTGGAGGTAGAGGTGAATCTTCGATCGACAGTCAGCAGAGTGAAGGAGCAGAGATTCGGTCTGCACAATTTTTTCATGCACCCGTTGTCCAATGGGCAAGAATCTGACCAATGTAAGTCAATGCACATCCTCCCCTTTCACACAGTGAAGGAAGAGTATCCACATCGACCCTTATCAGGCAGCAAGGATACAGAAGAAACTCCAGATTTGGTCTCAGCTGCAGTTCTTTTCAGTAATTTGGTAATTTATTAACTTTAGAAATAACAGTGTACCTGTGTTCATTACTTATGACGAATACACCCTACTCAGTGATGTCAGTAACAGGAAATACTGGATGTAGAGTAGAACTAACTGTACTATCCTTGCAAATTTCCCATAAATCTAAGCCTATTTTATTTATTTATTTTTAAATATTAATTAATTAATTTATGAGAGTGAGAAAGAGAGAGTACAGGGGCGGGGCAGCAGGGTGGGGGGTGGTGTGGAGAGAAAGAGACAGAATCCCAAGCAGACTCCATGCTGAGTGCAGATCCCAACGTGGGGCTTGATCTCATGATCCTGAGACCATGACCTGAACGGAAACTAAGAGTTGGATATTCAATCGACTGAGCCACCCAGGTGCTCCTAAAACAAAGTCTTATCTTTTAAATAAAAACCCAAAGTCTCTTCAGCATCGACCAGTCTAACAAGACCCATCCCAGTATTCCAAAGAAGCACAATGGCTTTTTTCCATGGCTGGCTTACTAGAGAACAGGACTCTGGAGATTCTTCTCAATGGCTCTTCCTTAGCGGCCCTTATACCTCAGAAGTTGCATTTTCCTGCGGTTTTTCATGCTATTTGGCCTAAAACTCAGAAGGAGGACTGGTAAATCATATCTCAGAGCAAGGTGGAGCTGAAGGCTAAAGAAACTTGGAAGACCAAATTGGTCAGGAGTCATGCCAATCCAAACTAATTTTTATTATTTCATTAAGGCTATTCAGGCAAGGGCAGTAATAAAAGGTTGCGTCAGATAGCATGCATGGGTGAGCTGAGGAGAAGCACTTTCTAATCTGGGATCTTAGTTTTTAAACAAATATCTGGCTTTCTAAATCCAGGGCACCCGATTTTGAAAATATAAGTAACTACCAACTCATATGGACCTGCCTTTTGGTGCATGGCTCTGAGAAACATCCCCCAGTCTGCCCTGGGGCCAGGGGCCATAAAACCAATCCTCCACTTCAGTGCTAGTTGTGGAAGCTGCCCCTGTCACCGTATCTGAGCTCCTCTCTAGGACTTTCTGGCTCTTCCCTTCCCTTCCATTCTCCTTGCTTTGGTGGTTTCTTTGCTGCCTTACTCCTTCGCAGCCCTGCTCACCTGGCCCAGTGTGGAAATGTCAGGATGGGCAAAATGGAGAGGGCTGTCAGGGAAAATGAAGAAAAAAAAAAAGCCATTGCAACTCACTCCTCCCCATTCTTACCCCGAGTCAATGAGTTTTGACAAGTGTATATATCTCCATACAACCAGTACCCAAATCAGGCTACAGGACATTTTCGTCACTCCCAGAAGTTCCCCAGCTAGAAGTCACAGAACTAATATATGCTGATAGAAAGAAGTCACATCAGTGACTGCCTGGGGTTGGGGGGGTGGGGAATTAACCTCAAAGGGTTACAAAATAGCTTTGGGGGTGACAGAAATGTTCTATATCCTGATCTGGGTTGTATATGTTTGTCAAAACTGATTTCTATGCAAAATGGGTAGATTTTACTGTATGTAAGTTATATGTCTATAGAGTCAATTGAAAAAAATTCTACTGATACTAGTTTCAAAACCCTGGTTATTTCTCCAAGTTCTAGTTATTGATCTCCAAGTCCTAGGTGTGACCAGGGTGATCCCTTCCTCTCCTGGATCATACCCTCAGAGTCTGCGGTGTTCACCTGGTCATTTAACCAGGTGTGTGACTTAATGTCATTTAACAAATGTCATTTGTTTTTTTTACAAATTCATGAACTGTTTCCATACTAGATTATAGGAGCCTTGAGGCTGTGAAACTATAACTTCTGTTTCCTCTAAAGCATAGGGTTCACAAAGGCCAAGCATCGCAGATCCTAGCTACCCACTTGATTGGTGCCGACTGGACAGTGTCAGAGAAGACTCGGTGGCCAGAGCAGAGCCACTAGAATGCGCACCCATCTGGAGAAGAGAGTGATTCAGTAGGGGGACAAGGACATGTTGTGGGTGGCAAGCCTCCACTGGCTAATGAGCGCCAGCCCCATGCCCTGCTCTGATTCTCATCTGTCACATTCCTCCTTCTCTGAAAAACTCGGTTGATCTCAAGCTGTCATCTTGAGATCTACTAGTATCATCACCTTGGAAATTCCCTCCATCTCTCTCATGTTGGGGTCCCCCATTTCCCAGACCCCATGCTGTTTTTCCTTTAGGTAGAGCACATTGTTCAGCCAACAGCCCTCTCCAACAGAATATAAGAATATATCTAGATGTGGAGCTCCAAGTAGCACCGAGCAACTTCAGAAACCCCAGGTCAGTTCCTCTCCGCATACCTGAGCCACACACCAGTTTCTAGGTCCACCAGGATTTGCTGCAGACCGTCCCTGACTTGGAGCCTAGTGCATGTCCTGATGACCTTTCCATTCAGTGACTGTTAACTGAGTCCCTACTGTGAGCCAGGCACTGTTCTAGGCACTGGAGATAAAGTGGTGAACAAAGTAAACAAGAAAGTTTATTGAAGTTTGAAGATATGATACTGTTGGGGTGGAGGTGTGACCAAAGGTAATAAGCAAATGAACAAATGATAAAAAGGATGGTTATGAGTGAGATGAAGAAAATCAAATGGAGAGAATTTTGGGACAGAGGTGGTGATTTCTTAAGGTTGGGGGGCAAGAAGAGTCTCACTGAGGAAGTGACATCTAAAGGATAAGGAGCCACCCACAGTGAGATCTGGGGTAATGACATTCCAGTCAGAGAGAACAGCAGATGCAAAGGCCCAGGGGCAGGAACAAGCTCAATGAGTTTTGAACGGCAGAAAGCTTAGTATGGCTGGAGCAATGATTAATGAGGTCAGGGAAACAGGCAGAGGTCAAATGATGTAAGGCTTCATGTACTATGAGAGCACTGGGATTTTATTCCAATTGGCACTGGAGACCTTTGGGTAATTTTAAATCTACTCCCCACAACTCTCAAGGATCAAACTTTTGCTTACATATATGGATTTTTATTTTTTGGACCTAGACTCCTGGCCAGGCACTCCACTAGTATTCCTGGCAAACAATATCTGCTAATGAGCATCAGTGCAAACCTCTGTGCTCCTGGATTCCCACTCCCTTCCCACTGGGGACCCCTTTCATCACTTTGCCTTGGACCCTCCCCGAAAACCCAAACTAATACTTCTGGTTGCCTCCTGTTTTCTGCAGCCAGACTACACCCCTTTCGGCATCTATACCAGCCTGCCCCATCCTGCCAGCTGACTCTGGTACCAGGCCTCATTCTGCCACATGCCCCATGTTAAAGGCTGAAATGTCTCAAAGGACCGCAACAAAACAAGCACCCCTCCTCACAGCCTCCACCGCCCAACCAACTCACCTTCACCCAGGGTCTGCTTGAGTAAGTCATGCTTGGCCTGTAGCTTAGTGATGAGGTTACTGCCGTTCACATATTCTTTAAATTTCTGTAAGACACAAGGCACAGGGGCATTACAGACAGTAGGGCCAAGTCACATGGTCTCTGCCTCTGGGACCAACCTCTGTGCAAGGGAGGTCAAAGGGAGATCACGTCACCCTCCAGGACTCCAGCATGGGGAGAAGAGGGGCCTCTGACCTGCTCCTCTGCTCTTCTCCATCAGCCCCCAGCTCTGCCAACCATGGTTCTCCCGCCTATGAATTTCAGGCCAGTTTGCGGAATACAATGAAAGCTCATGGGGAATGTGAGCAGTGAAAGGTGCTTTTGTCAGGTGAGGACTGTGGGGTTCCCTAGCAGACGGCTTCGTTAGTCATCAGGCTCCACTGTGCTTCTGGGCCGCAAGCAATAAAAATAGGAATCATCTCTGGGGGCACCCAGCAGAGGCAAGAGTGCTTTATCAGATGTGTCGCAGAGGAGCCTCCTATCGAGCCTTTCTTTCATCTGGCCCCACTCTGAAGGAGGAAAGGCTCTGCAGGTCCCTAAAGACATTCCTATTAAAATAACCTGAACTGCGTTGGGGGATACAATTTTCTTCTTTTTATAGATGACACAGGTGAGGCTAGCATAGGGAACTGATTTGCCCAGGGGCCCTGGGACCCGAAGGTTGCCTCTAGTTCAAGCACAATGCACTTCAGAGCGGTACATGGGGACAGGACCCACCAGAACAGAAACTCATCCACCTGTGCCCAAATTCAGCGGGATCTCAGCCACACCTACACACAAGTACCAGCTTTCCTTGCCCACACCGTATCACCCAAACACAGGCCCAGAGCCCCCTCAACTGGGGCGTGTTTTGCTAGACTGTGAGCCACTATTGGTGGGGTCCACAGCCAATTTGTTTTGGGCTCCCCAGTGCTTATAGCTGTGCCTGGCATATATAGCCAGTGCTGAGAAACTGTGCCGAAGCCCTGACCTTGTAGGGGCTCACACAGAAGAGAGGACAGCTAATAAAGAAAGGGAAATACACAATTAGTCAGCTGCTGGTGAATGCTAGGAATAAAGATAAGGCAGGAATGGGGGCCTATGAACCAGGGCAGCCCTCACTGCAAAGTTGCCCTGGGAAGGTAAGCCTGAAGAAGCAGAGGAAAGGGCCATGTGGGTACACATGGGTACATGGGGGAAGGAACATTCTCAGCAGATGCAACAGCAATTGCAAATGCCCTGAAAATGAAGGCACAGGATGGTATGATTGCCCCATAGTTGCCAGCTAGTTTCTCACAAAGAAATCCAGTTTATTGCCCAAGCCAGAATGCCCAGAAAGGGGTGCAGAGGAGCAAACAAGTGAACCGTAGAGGCTTGAGACAGCCCAGTATGACCTGTAAAGGAGCATCTGGAAAATCACTGAAGACATTGTCGCACTGAAGACAGTTGTAGGGTAAAGGCCCATAGGATGGGGGCTGACATGTGAACAGATCAGATTGGGATCATCCCACCCTGGCCCCAACTTGATAGGTTTCTGGAATAGCAGGGCTGGCAGGAGGTGGCGTGTCCTCTCTCCTCAGCCATAATCCTTCTTGGGTTCTAGGACCTAGTCTTATTAATAAGTACTCCTTCTTGCACCTGCAGAACACTTGGCAGTTTTCAGGCTTATACCTTTGGTCCTCATCACAATTCTGGATAGCAAAAGTTTGGGGAGGGGCGTTGTCATTCCCATTCTAGTCAGATGTCTCCATCTGAAGCTCCATCTGAAGCTCAGAGCTGTGGCCACTTGGTATACACCTTGAGCAGATTACTCCCTGCCCTCCTCAGGGTAAAATGACAGTAGACTCAGCTTTCTCCAGGTGTGGTGTGGCCTCCAACCTGGCTGGGGAGAGGGTCAAAATGTAGATTCCTGCTCAAGAATACTGGCAGTCCCTAATTTTATACCTGAAGAAGATACCAGACCGATTCAGATATGTTCAAATTTCCAGGGCCCACCTCTGGCTGGGTAGTATGCTGGGAATCTACGTTTTTAATAAGCTTACTACATGATTCGAATGTGTACTTCAGTGTGATAACTGCTCTTCTCTAGGCTCTCTGTGGATGCTTCCAACACCCTCTGCTCTTATCACATGTTTAAAAATTCACCATAAGAAGCACAGCTGAGGTATAAGCAGGTATTTTCCCTATCATGCCCTGCTGCTCCTGATAGTTGAAGCTCTAACCCAAACAAATAATTCACATCTCGGTGGGTTATTTACTGGTGAGTGGAAGTTATACCCCAGGGCTCTGGGGCCTGTGAACTCTGCCTACTTTTTTCAAGCTTCATCCAGGCTTCAAATATGACCCACCATGGAAAGAATGCCATCAAATTGTATTGATGTTTGCATTAAAAGGAATATTATGTCCTTTAAAATGCCTAAAACAGGGGACCCCTGGGTGGCTCAGCGGTTTGGCGCCTGCCTTTGGCCCAGGGCGCAGCCCTGGAGTCCCAGGATCGAGTCCCACATTGGGCTCCTGGCATGGAGCCTGCTTCTCCCTCTGCCTGTGTCTCTGCCTCTTTCTCTATGTGTATCATGAATGAATAAATGAATGAATGAATGAATAAATAAATAAATCTTTAAAATAAAATAAAATGCCTAAAACAATGTCACAACATCAAGTCATGAGATGTACTAGCCAACCAGGTTGCTAGATTAAATATTAAAATTAAAATATAACATCCATGACCCTTAATCATCAACATTGGTGAATTCTGTCTTTTAATTTTCAGTAGGATAGACCCTCTTCTCTGCTTCTACCACCCAGATTTGTTTCTGCTGCCAACATGAATTAAAGTGAATTAATATTCATTAATATTCATATGCGCTCCTTACTCAATCTCTGTAACACATAAAATTCTCTTTGTAAACACAGTAGGCCTTGAGTGGAAGTGGAGAACCCCAGAAATTGGCACAGGCTCATTCACTAAGACTAGTTTTATTATCTTTCTTAAAAACAACAAAGTCAAACAGTGATGACCAAGGAAATGCTATACATGTTTTTAACAAGGGATTGAACAAGGCCTATCACAAGTTGGAGCCGGACGTCAGAACTGGGTGGGTCTGTGACTAAATGACCACAATCTAAAAGTTCTGATCAGCGGATCAATTTCAGCCATGGCATGTTTTAAATAACTCTATGTTTGGCCTTGGCTCTGGCATACCCCCTAGTTTTTTTTTTTATTGACAAACTTGAAGGTGTGAAAGCCACACTCACTGAACCTGCAGACAACATAAGGTCTGAAGAGACAGCACATATGTTGAACAACTGGAACAAGACCTTGACAGTCTGGAGTCATGAACTAAATCCTTCAAGAGGAAACCTAATTGGTAACAAACATAAGACCTACCCAAGACATCACCTTTAGGAGGAAGGTAGCCTGGTTTAATGACAGTATGTAGGGAATAAAGATTTAACTGATAGCAACTTTAAATATAGATATATGTGTGTGTGTGTGTACTAAATATATAATTTTAGTTAAAAAAGAATATCATGAAAAATTACATGCCAACAAACTGAATAAGCTATAATAGTTTGAGAAGAATAGGCATTAACTCTTCTTTAAACGTTTGGTAAAATTCACCTGTGAAGTCATCTGCCTCTGGACTTTTGTTCATTGGGAGTTAATACCTATTCTTAAACTATTCCAAAAAGTGGAAGAGGAAGAAAAGCTTCTAGATTCATTCTATGAGGCCAACATTGCCTTGATATCAAAATCAGATAAAGATACTACAAAAAGAGGGATCCCTGGGTGACTCAGCGGTTTAGCGCCTGCCATCGGTCCAGGGCGTGATCCTGGAGACCTGGGATCTAGTCTCACATCGGGCTCTCAGCATGGAGCCTACTTCTCCCTCTGCCTGTGTCTCTGCCTCTCTCTGTGTCTCTCATGAATAAATAGTTTTTTTTTTTTAAAAAAAGATACTACAAAAAGAGAGAACTACAGGCTAATATCTCTGATGAACATAGATGCAAAAATTCTCAACAAAATATTAGCAAACCAAATCCAATCACACATTAAAAAAATCATTCACCACAATCAAGTGGGATTTATTCCTGGGATGCAAGGGTGGTTCAATATTCACAAATCAGTCAACACAATACATCAACAGAGAAAGGATAAAAGCTATGGATGAAGAAAAAGCATTTGACAAAGTACAACATCCAATCATGATTAAAACCCCTGTCAAAGTAGGTTTAGAGGGAATATACCTCAATATATTGAAGGCTATATATGAAAAACCCACAGTTAATATCATACTCAATGGTGAAAAACAGAGCTTTTCCCATAAGATCAGGAACACGACAAGGACGTCCACTTTCACCACTTTTATTCAACATAGTACTGGAAGTCCTAACCACAGCAATCAGACAACAAAAAGAAATAAAGGCATCCAAATTGGTAAGGAAGAAGTAAAACTTTCACTATTTGCAGATGACATGATACTATACATAGAAAACCCTAAAGCCTCTACCAAAAAACTATTAGAACTGAGAAATTAAATCTACCAAAAAACTATTAGAACTGAGAAATTAAAGGTTACAGGATACAAAATCAATATACAGAAATCTATTGCATTCCTATACATTAATAGTGAAGTAATAGAGAAATTAAAAACACAACCTCATTTATAATTGCACCAAAAATAAAATATGTAGGAGTAAATTTAACCAAGGAAGTGCAAGACCTATACTCTGAAAACTACAAAACGCTGATTAAAGAAACTGAATACAAAGGTAAAGATATTACATGCTCTTAGATTGGAAGAATTAATATTGCTAAAATTCCATAGTACTCAAAGCAATCTACATATTTAATGCAATCCCTACCAAAGTACCAACAATATTTTTCACCGAACTAAGACAAATAATCCTAAAATTTGTATGGAATCACAAAAGGTCTCAAATAGCCAAAGTAATCTGGAAAAAAAAAAAGAACAAAACTGAAGATATCATAACCCCATATTTCAAGATATACTACAAAGCTGTAGTAATCAAAGTTGCATGGTCCTGGTACCAAAACAGAATATAGATCAATGGAACAGAATAGAGAGCCCAGAAATAAACCCATAATTATATGGTGAATTAATCTACAATAAAGAAGACAATATGCAATGGGGAAAAGACAGTCTCTACAACAAATGATGTTGGGAAAACTGGACAGCTACATGCAAAAGAATGAAACTGGATCACTTTCTTCACCATAATCAAAAAATAAACTCAAAATGGATTAAGGACATAGATGTAAGACTTGAAACCATAAAAATCCTAGAAGAGAGATGGGCAGTAATATCTCTAACATCAGCTGTAGCAACATTTTTCTTGGTGTGTCTCCTGAGACAAGGGAAACAAAACAAAAATAAACTATTGAGACTACATCAAAATGAAAAGCTTTCTTCACAGCAAAGGAAACAACCAACAAAACGTAAAAGACAACCTAGTGAATGGGAAAGGATATTTGCAAATGACATATTTGAGAAAAGGTCACTATTCAAAATATATAAAGAACTTCAACTCAAGATAAAAAATAATAATAATCCATTTAAAAAACAAGCAGTAGACATGAGCAGTCATTTCTCCAAAGAAGGCACCCAGATGGCCAACAGACACATGAAAAGATGCTCACCATCGCTCATCTTCAGGGAAATGCAAATCAAAATCACAATGAGATATTACCTCATACCTCACAGAACAGTTAAAATAAAAAACATAAGAAACAACTAGTGTTGGCAAAGATGTGGAGAAAAACCCTCTTGCACTCTTGGTGGGAATACAAACCAATGCAGTCACTGTGGTAGACAGTGACTCAAAAAAATTAAAAATAGCATTACCATATGATCCAGTAATTCCACTACTGATTATTTAGCCAAAAAAAATACAAAAACACTAATTTGAAAAGACATATATACTCCTATTTTATTGCAGCATTATTTACAACAGCCAAATTATGGAAGCAGCCCAATGCCCATTGATAGAAGGATGGATAAAGAAGGCGTGGTATGTATCCACGCACACACGTGCACATGCGTGCACACAAACACAGTGGAATATTACTCAGCCATAAAAAAGAATGAAAACTTGCCATTTGCAACAGCATGGATAGATCTAAAGGGTATAATACTAAGTGAAATAAATCAGTCAGAGAAAGACAAGTACCATATGATTTCATTCATATGTGGAATTTAAGAAACAAAGGAACAAAGAAAAGAGACAACCCAAAAGCTAGACTCTTGAGTACAGAGAACAAACAGATGGTTACCAGAGGGGAGGTAGGATGGGGGAATGAGTGAAACAGATAAAGGGGATTAAGAGTCCACTTAGCATGATGAGCACTGAGTAATGTATAGAATTGTTGAATCACTATCTTGTACACCTGAAACGAATATAACGCTGTATGTTAACTATACTGGAATTAAATTTTTTAAAATAAAAATAAAAACAAATCAAAAAGAATATGATCTCAGGACATATGAAAAGCATTAGGGAGGAAGGAGTTGGAAGTTTAGTTCTATTCTGTGCTGTTTAGACTGCTGCTGACCTTAGAACAAGCATCAACAAGAGGAATATGTTCGGGAAAGAGCCTAGGATGCTGAGGCCACTCAAAATGAAAGCTTATGAGGCAGGATTTACAAAATCAGTTATATTTAGCCTGGAGACATCAAAACCCAGTTCCCTACCAGCAAGCCAAAGACTGTTTTGTGGCATTAATCTCTCTGGGTTGCCTCAGAGAACAGGATCAAGATCAATGACCAGAGATCCTAGTGAAACAGATTTTTGAAGATAATAGGAGGGAAAACATTATAATATCTACAGCCAGTCACAGGCCAAAACAAAAGGGCTATTTGGAGATGGAGGGAACTTTTCATCCTGGGGCTATTCAAGCAGAGACTGGATGACTTCTTGGGAGGGATATGACTGAATGAGATCAAGCATCAGATCTGAGGTCCCTTACAACTCCCAAATTCTATGTATACTAAACCCATGTTGAACTAAAGCCCCAATGCCCTTTATTCTTGTTCTTCCCCGCACCAACTGAATAGAATGGAAGTGACCTGGGATTTTCCATGAAGGGCTTACAACTCACCAGTAATTTGCATAGATTGCCCAGGACATGGTTTCCAAAGCCCACACCCCAAATTAAGACACCTCAACATGACAACCATACACTTAACTTTATGGCTGTTACCTAAGGGCTTGCCCATAGGTTCCATTCACCATTTTCTTCACATGTTACTGAACACAACTCTCTGGTTTTTTTCCTATGTTAGTTGCAATAACCGTCAATCCAGAATCAATGCTGATGCTCCCCACTGGTCATTCATTTTTTTGCATTTTACAAAGCCAAGCCAGGCAATTTACTTAATTTGAGAAGCATGTCGGGAAAATTTTAGCTCTAATTGACTCACATGGTTTTGCTGGCTTCCACTAGCTTGGGCTGCTCCCCAAAAGTCACTGCCAGCAGGTCAGCAGTGGGTTCTGGGTTCAAGAGGCCACTTACTGTAAAATAAAACATTTCTGTTTCCTGCTGGTTGGCTCTCCTTTTGGCGATGTTGATTTTGCTCATATAGGTCTCAGAGGCAGCTGACTTCACAGACTCTGTAGATCGACTGTGTTGGAAGGCGTCAGAGACATCGAAGTCCTCCACAGTCAGCATGTCCTGTAAGGTCTGCATGGTGGCATCCAGGGTTTTTCTAACCTGGAGAAACAGCATGTCAATAAAAACCCTTCAGCCTCAGAACACCTCTGACACCTCAAAGTCCTTTTCCCCCACTTTATTTCTTCTATGTAAAGCCTCTGAAAGGTGGGCAGGATAAAGATGATCATTCTCATTACACTAATGTGGGAAGTGAGGCCAGTGAGCTGGCTGGGGTGAGAATCTGTGTTGCCCAATATAAAGTCATTTTATTGAATTGCTTCTGCTGAAGAGAACCTTGGAGAATGTTATAGCAAACAAGGAACCTGGGTTTCTAGGTTTGTTTCTCTTTTCGTGATCATATAGCCCCAAACTAGCCCCTTCAGTGGGAGGCAGGTCTCTTGAAGAAGAATAACATTAGAAATAGCTCTCAATGCTCATCCAGAGGGAAGAGGGGACAAAATCTTGGTAGGATGAGGGGCCATCCTCAGTGGACAGACTTTCTGGCCATCTGCCCCTGACTTATCGAAAGGCTGACTGAGAAAAGAGAACTTGAGGAAGACATATGCTGAACCAGTCCTCCAGGACTCCAATTTCTCTCAAGTCAAGTGGGACCCAGGGAAGGCTACATGGGCAGAGTGCAGGAGCCCTGACCTCACAACATCCCTTCACTGACTTGTGCCCTATACTGTGATGGAGGATCACTCCAAAAACAGTGGAGAGGGCAGCCTGGGTGGCTCAGTGGTTTAGCGCTGCCTTCGGCCCAGGGCGTGACCCCGGAGTCCCGGGATTGAGTCCCACGTCGGGCTCCCTGCATGGAGCCCGCTTCTTGCTCTGCCTGTGTCTCTGACTCTCTCTCTACCTGTGTCTTTCATGAATAAATAAAATATTTAAAAAAAAACAGGGGAGAAATTGCCTCTATTTGGCAATTTGTTTGTTGTTAAATTATTGTCACTTGAAGTCTTTCTTGTTACTCAGATCTCAACTCACATATCACCTCCTGGTGACATCAGAGCCCTCTGACTACTCTTCCTTAGAGCACATCATCATTTGATATTTTGCATACTCATTCATTTGTTAGTTGCTTTGCTTTCATGTCTTATCTATCTTTCCTCACTAGAACATAATCTCCATGGGAGGAGGTACTAGGGTGTCTTGTTCACTGATTTTACTCTGCATCTAGCACAGTGTTTAGAGCATAATAGGTGCTTGAATAAAATAAATACTTGAATAAATATTGGTTGAATGAGTATTTGGTGAATGTATAAATGAACAGATCAGTTTTTTTCTAAGACAGCCTAACAGAAGTTCAGGTTCAAAATTAAGCATTTCCAGGATGCCTGGGTGGCTCAGGGGTTGAGTGTCTGCCTTTGGCTCAGGGAGTGATCCCAGGGTCCGGGGTCAAGTCCTACATCGGGCTCCCTGTGAGGAGCCTGCTTCTCCTTCTGCCTATGTTTCTGCCTCTCTCCATGTGTCTCTAGTGAATAAATAAATACATTTTTTTAAAGAATTCATTCTTTAAAAAAAAATTTAAGCATTTCCATAGTTATAAACGGCCTATACAGAGGAACATTTGCCTCATTCTCTCTGGGGCCCTAATTTCCAATTTAGACCCCATCAACATTGTTGCACATAGACTATTTGATGTAAACAACTGAAGAAGCTTCAGGGGAGGATATAGGACACAAACACTTTTTTCAGCTCCTCTCTCTCCTCAGGTGTGCAAAATAAATACATAATTCATTTCTGTATGATCTCCCCCCAGGGACAGCTTTGATTCATTATTATCCTGAGTGACAATCTGTCTTATGTCTCTCCTAGTTCTGTCCTTTGTGGAGACACAGAGCAAACCAGCCCTCTCTGCCCAGGACAGTGCTCTTGAGATATGAAGATGGGGACCATGACTCCCCATCTCCAGCTTTGATTGCACTCCTCAGTTAAACCTCAGGTAAACCTGCCCAAGATTTTAGGTAACATTCCCCACATCCTGGTGTCCTTTCTCCAGGAGCCTTCGGTTGATTGACATCTTCCCCGCATGGAGGTATCCAGGCTGGAATAGGATGTTTCCCATTTGGCTTTCTCAGTCCACATCAAAATAAAACCACCACAGCTGGTGCTTCCATTTGCATACTCCCAGTGGTGATCCTGTCACCGCTTTATGGGAGGCGTAAAGGCGGTAGGTAGTTCCTCGGAGCTCAGAATCCATGACACATTCAGTGTGCCCTGGGTTATTTCACTATGCATTTTAAAATACCTATAACTCTCTTTGATGATAAAAAGTAACATAAACTTAATGCAGATAATAGAGAAAAGCATAAGAAGAAAACAGAAATCACCTGTAATTCCTCTACCCAGCTATAACCACAATTAACATTTCAAAGTATTTCCTTCCAGGCTTTTTTCTCGTGAACACAGATACACACTGTGAAGTAGAACTCTGCTCTAGTTTACCATACTTAAGAGAATATCGAACAGAGTTCTATTTCTTGTTTGTTTTTCTTTAACATCTTATGAGCATCCCCCACCCAAGCCATTGAAGATTCTTGGTGTGCCCAGTTTTAATGGTCATGTAATAATCCATCTTTAAAAAAAATTATTTACTTTAGAGAAAGAGGCAGAGAGGGTGAGAGTGGGGGAGGGACAGATTAAGAAGGAGAAAGAGCATCTTCCGCAGGCTTCACGCCCAGCATGGGGCCCAATGCAGGGTCCCATCTCATGACCCATGAGATCATGACCTGAGCTGAAAGCAGCAGTCAGATGCTTAACCCACTGAGCCACCCAGGCACCCCCAGTCGTGTAATATTCCATTTTACAGATGACCACTAATTTCTTAAGTGTTCCACAGCCAGAGTTCCAGCACCAGCGGGGCCTTCATAAGGAAATTTGTTGTGGGGCAGAGGGACCCACTCACCTCCTCATTCTCTATCTTGAGAGTGGCCAGTCTGGACTGCAGCTGGTGGTACCGCATGAGCAATTCCGTCTGGACGGGTTGCTGTGCACTGACCTGGCACACCTGCAAAAGGACAGCCAGTGCCTGTGGTTGCCCAGTGCTCTCATCACCTGTGCAAGCCGGGACCAGGGGCCATCACTAATGTCCCTATCAGCAGTCGAGGAAACAGGCTTGCACCTGGCAACACCAGATGGGAACCGGGGATCTTTCTATGCCAAAGGCAAGATGTGGCCTCTCAGTCATGGTCTAGATTTGTGCAGCCCTTGAGGGTTTACTAAGAGCTTTCACGTGAGCTCATTAAGTGAGACTAGTTAATTTCAAGGCAGGGGTTTGTGGTAAGAAAGCAACTGCCTAACAGAAGCCAATGAAAGGGACAGTGAATGGAAACAATCACTGGAGGGCTCCAATTCCCCGGCAGGAAGGTGCCTCAGGGAGGCAGGAGCACTCTCATGGGGTGCACGGGGGAAAGGTAGAAGGAAATACTATTCTCCTGACACCTACTCCACCCAGGGCTCTGCTACTACCCCATGGGCTGGGCTGCCCTGCGTGAGTCAGGTAAGATCCTAAGGGACAGTAGGGCTCCATGATTTACTAGTTATTTCCCACTAATTAGGCAGTCACCAGTGGTAGCTGGGAGCCCAGAATTTTCAGGTCCAGATGATGGGCCAAAGGGCAGGATGCAACGGCTGAGGGATAGGCCAGAAGCTGTAGGGAAGCCCTCTTTTGCAAATGAAGAAAGTAGGGAAGGATGTAAAGGAAAAAGTTCAAGGAGCTTTTTGCATAAGGGACTTTGTACAAATGGAGTAACCAATAACTGCTCTGTGGCCAGTAACAAGTGCCACCCCCCACGTACTTATTTATTCCAGAGCATGGTAAGGAGCTGAGCAGCACAAGCATTGAAGGGAGCATGGTTCCTGTGCCAGAGGACAGACAGTGTCCCGGCCAGCCTGCCAGCCAGTGTGGATTAATCCCAGTTTCCCATAACCTGAGGTCACCCGAGGAAAGAGTGGGAGATGCTTGCGTGGCCTTGTGGGACTCCCTTGGGATCTACACAGAACTGGGAAGGATATGAAGGAGAGCTAAGGTCCTGCCGTTGGGCAGGCGGGAGACTTCAGCTAGCAAAGTTAGGATATTAGTGGTAAAACCCTCAGCTGGGCATCCCCTGGACCAAGAACTTGACCCCAGGCCTCTCAGATAAATGTCCTGCACATGGAACAGGGCCTGACCTTCCCCCTCCCACTGATGGCCCAGGAGCATGTGGAAGGAACAAGTGGAAACAGCCTCAAGCCTGGGCTCCGGGGAGAAACCTACCTCATCCCCCATGTGGGGCTGGAACTCAAACTTAAGCGGAGGACAGAAGACCTGGTTGCACATGTCCATGACAGTATGCTTGTCACTTCGGGAATCCAGGTTGTCCACCGCATTCTCGATGACATCCAACCCCTCGTGGCGAGAGGTCTCCAGGTTGTACTCGGCCGAGAGGTAGGTCCGAAAGGTGCGGGCCAGGCTGGCATGAAAGCCCAAATCACAACACTTGGAGAGAGGAACACAACAGAAGGGTGAGGATACGGGCTATCACTGGAGGTGGGGGGCTGGCATTCCCCTTCCCATCATGGTGACTTAAGATTATCTCCCATTGCACAGCCAACTCTTTCATCCTGGAGGCCCTTGTGCACTTGGGAATCCTACTGCACAAATCACCCCCAACGCCCGCAGAGGGAACTGGGGATTGTGATTTGAGCAGTAGCAGAATTTCTCTTGGCTCCCCAAATTCATCCCATTCTTTCTCATCTCTAGGCCTTCTTCACACATGTATTCCCTCTGCCTGGCCTACTGCCTAAATATTCTTCCTTCAGGTTTCAGTTTTGAGGTCACTTCCTCCAGGAAGTCTTCCTTAATGCTCCCCCACTCAGAGTTTATGTCACATGTCCCTCCTCTGGGACTCCACATCTCCTTCCACCTCCCTCACTGGGACACCTTTCACTTGGCTTTGCAGTTGCCTATTCATGTTTCAGGGTTACACATGGTCAGCTACAGAAGGGCAGACCCATAAGCTCGTGTCCACTCCTGGACCTCAAGACCTACGACTAGTAGGTGCTCAATAAAAATGTGGTAAGTGAAGAAAGGAGAGGACTGGAAAGAGTGAAAAGTTGTGAGCAAGAGGAGGGGTCTGGCCTCCGGTGTGGGAAGGCACAGGCAGGGCTGGCAGCTAGCTCCCTCTCCTGGGGACGGTGGCAATGGGTGCCTTCTGCAGCCATGGGAAAGCGGTGACCCTGTGACTCCCTGACGGGACACAGCAGAGCCAGAGGAAAAGGATCCATCCATCAGTAGGGAACCTTTCCTGAGCATCTGCAGGCCAGATCCCTGTCTGCGTGGGATGGGCGGGACACAGGAAGCAGTCCCAGATCCAACACAAATGAGACAGACGCTCTCCGTGATGATGCCACTCATGATGTTCTTTCTCCAAGCCCAGACCTCCAGTCCCTCCGGTGTGACCCACACAGCTGGTACTTGGGAGTCAGTGTTCCATCTCCTTTTGCTAAAACTGCCACAGTTTTCCCACAAGAATATCCCCTACAGATATAAACATCTGCACCGCCCTAGGAGACTACCCAGGGCATGAACTGTGTACCATCACCCCTGTGCCCGCAAACTCAGCAAAGGGCCTGGTGTAGAGGAGGCTGGTGCAGGTTGAATATATGCCTACCTGACCCAGCCATATAGGGGCTGCCAGAGGCCCACTCCTACCTGTGGACAGAGAAACCATCTCCCAGGCCCCAAATGCCCTTTGCCCTTCCCCTCCATCAGGGCTCAAGGGACATGCTCATCAGCTACAGACAAGGGCCAGCATGGGTGTGGGGCCCTGTTGGGTCCCAGACTGCCCAGGTGCTCACGTCGATTAGGTCAGAGACATCGTGGATGTAGTATTTGCTGATAGCTGCATTGGTGGCCGCCAGATTCAGCAAGTAGTCATTTCGGGCCTTTGTACATTTCAGCTTGTTCTCAGAATACTTAGCCTGCCTCTGGAAGAAGAACAGAGTAGAGGTGAGAGCTGAGGCACTGACCTGCCCCTCGTCCCTCTCTCGCACCCTCTTCATTGCCCAACTGCCTCTGTCCTTCCCTTAAGAGGCCAAGTTCACTCCTGCCTCTAGGCCTTCAGACTCATTCCCTCTGCCTGGCGAGCCATCCTCCCAAGTCCCTAGGTGGCCTGCTTCTTCATGTCCTTCAGGTCCTTATCCAAGGTCATGTGGTCAGAGTGTCCTCTGATGACAACCTCATCTGGAAATGAGTCTTCAGCATCTGCAGTGCCCCTCCCCCTGCATTCCCTTGCCCTGCTCTATGTTTTTCATCTATTTAGTCTTTGCTTAGTTTTTAGTGACTATTCTCATTTTAAATTACTTTTTTAAATATTATGTTTTTAGAGCAGTTTTAGGTTCATAGCAAATTTAAAAGGAAAGTACAGAGATTTCCCATATGCCCCCACACATGCATAGCCTCCCCTGTTATCAACATCCCCCACCACACTGTACATCTGTTACAAATGATAAACCTACAGGGACACATCATAGTCACCCAGAGTCCAGAGTTGACACTAGAGCTCACTCTTGGTATTTTATACTCTATGGGTTTAGGCAAACGTATAATGATATATATCCATCATTATAATATCAAACAGGGTAGTTTTCCTCCCTTACACATACTCTGTGCTATCTATGCATCCCTCCCTGCCACCTAAGCCCTGGCAACCACTGATCTTATTCCTGTCTCCATAGTTTCGCCTTTTTCCAGAATGTCATATAGTTGGAATCGTAAAGTATATGGCCTTTTCAGATTGGCTTCTTTCACTTAGTGATATGCATCTAAGGCTCCTCCATGTCTTCTCAGGGCTTGCTGGCTCATTTCTTTATAGCACTGAATAACATTCCATTGTCTGGATGCACCACAGTTTACTTGTCCATTCACGTACTGAAGGACATCTTGGTTGCTCTATTTTTTTCTTCATAAGCATTTTTTACCACCTGAAATTATATTTTTTACCTCTTTGTTTACTCGCTGGTTTTTGGTGTCCACCACTAGAAAGTAAATTCTATGAAGTCAGGGACTTGATCTACCCTATTCATCACTGGGCCTGAAGCATGCAAAACTGATACTCCTCACCCATTTTCAGGGGCTACTATGACCCTCAGACCACTTTCAGCCCTTCATGGATTCATAAAATTTTATACCTAGAAAAGATATTAAAGGTATCTTAGCTTAATTCACCCATTTTACAGATGAGAAAATGAAAACCAAGAAGAAATGACTTGGGGACACCTGTCTGGCTCAGTTAGTAGAGTATGTGAGTCTTAATGTCAGGGTCATGAGTTCGAGCCCCACATTGGGTATGGAGATTACTTAAAAAACAAAGTGGCTTGTCCAAAAGCCAAATGACTAATTATCATATCACTCTGAACTTAACTCTACAGACTTCTGGCTGGTGGTCTCTCTTCCCCTCTATTTATCCCCCATGTTGTAGTTTTGTAATTCCCTGCCTGCCTGTCTTATTTTTATTTATTTGTTTATAGTATATTCACAGAGTTGTACAATGATCACCACCATCTAAAGTTAGAATATTTTTGGCAACCCAATAAGAAACCCTATGCCCATTAGCAATCACTCTCTTTCTCCTCTGCCCCAGCTCCTGGCAATAAATAATCTACTGTCTGTCTCTATGGATTTGTCTATTCTGGACATTTCCTATAATTAGAATCATACAATATTGTGACTGGTTTCTTTTACTTAGCACAGTGTTTTCAAGGTACATCGTGTTGGAGTAAATATCATTACCCTACTCCTTTTCATGGCTGAATACATATTCCATCACATCACTAGATTACATTGTATTCATCCATTCACCAGTTGATGGACATTTGGTTTGTTTCTACCTTTTGGCTATTATGAATAATGCTGCTAGGGACATTCATGTGCAGGTTTCTGTATGGATGTATGTTTTCATTTCTCTTGGTGGACACATAGGAGTAGAATTATTGAGTCATATGATAGCTTTTTGTTTAACATTTTGAGCAGCTCACAGATTGTTCTCCAAAGTGGGTGAACCATTTATGTTCCCTCCAGCAACATATAAGGGTTCCAATTCTTCTGCAACCTCATTAACACTTGTGATTGTCTGCCTTTTTTATTTTAGCCATCCTAGTGGTTATGAGGTGGTATCTCACTGGGGTTTGGATTTGTATTTTCTTAATGTCTAATGATGCTGAGCATCTTTTCATGTGCTCACTGGCCACTCATGTAAGTTCTTCAGAGAAATGTCTATTCAAATTCTTTATCCATTTTTTTTAATTGGGCCCCTGTCTATTGGAAGCATGCTTTTCTTTGCCTTTGGAAATTATCCTGGAACCTTATTTTATTTGCCTATGGTTACTTTTTCAGCTCATCCAGGCCCTGGTGAATTCTGTTTCCACTCAATCTCCTAACATTTTTAAGAGCTGCAGGATCATGTAATCATGAGACTCACAGAAGCCCAAATAAATACGTGGTGTGATGTTTGGCACAGGAAAAGAGCTCAGGAAATGTTTAGTGATTGCATGGAATGAATTAATGCAGAGAATTCAAAAGAAAATAATAGCTTTTACAAAGAAAGAAACCTGAGAAGTAATCTAGTCTAAGATAACAAAAGCATGTACACTGCCCCTCTAAATTCCCTGACCATCGCAGGCATCATCAATTGATTGCAGCACTGTTTTTAACTAATGCCTGGAGGAGGCTTCACAATCTTCAACAGAGTTTTGGGCAGTTACTACCAACTGATCACAGTTGGCTTGAGAGAGAAGAGTCATTTGCCATCGCTGTCAGATTTTAAAACTGAGGCTCAGAGAAGTACTGTAAATGTGGCATTTTCAAAAACCCAGATAGTCTGATTCCAAAACTAGCACTCATCCCTCTGTGCCCTACTAAAGCACTTGCCCAGCACCAATAATACACAGTGATTCTAAATCTCCCATTTTTGGCTTGCCAGTGGCATTTTGGAATGGGTTCTTTATCGGGTTCCCAGGTGCTCATTGGTAGCCCAGTGCTGTTCCCTCTTATTGGGACATGCTCAGCCCCAACCAGCCTCTGGCCACCAATATGACCCTCCTGAGCAAGCCCCACCCTCACAAATTGCCTGGTAATTCCTGTCCATTTGAGAATGTGCTGGCTGAGCATTGAGTCTTGTCACAGTTCAGTTCTCTTGTCAGCTGAGCACTTTCCCTGCCTGTTGATCCTGGCACAAGGCCAGGCCTAATAAATGCCAGTGAGGCATGGACAGCCCTGCCTCCTTCATGACACTGACCTCCAAGACAGTGCATGCTGACACCATGCTTCTATCCCATACCCCTCAGGGTGCAGAACGGGAAAGTTGACGCTGTCCAGAGGGAGCATGCCCCTCAGTTTCTCCTAGGCCCTCACTCACCTTCTCCTTCATCTTCTCAATCTTCTTCACAGAGCTGCGGCGCTGGGGCCGGTCCTCGTGCCGGAGCAGGTTCATGCTGAGGTCTCCTGATTTGTTGAACTGCTTCTCCTCCTGCTTCTCGGCCTCCTTCAGCTTGCTTTCTGCACTGATACTCTCAGCATGATACATGTGGTAGGTTTTCATGACCTGGGGATGCACAGGGGCAGGAAATCAGCAGCCTGCACAGCCCAGCATGTGGCCCCCCTGGGCTCCCAGCCCCATTCAGGTTCTGTGTGTCAGGAAGCCACACCCTGTCCTCTTCCTTCCACACACTCCAAGCTTCCCGTGGTTCTTTACTTTAGCACCAACTCTGGGGACTGGAAATGATGATCATCTTCAGTAGAGGCTTCACTGCCATTATCGTCTTTAGCAACATCATGACATCCTTACCAAATGCCAGGAATGGACTAGTAAGGAGGAAATTTAAAAGCCCCCGCACATTTGGGGGGTCTCAGAGGGGATAAGACATACTTGGCCCTCCCTCAGCTGCCCCCTCTTGCCCTGCCAGCAGCCATGACTCTTGTCCCTCCCCCCTCCCCCCAGAGTCAATGGGAAAGCCCCTCCTCAGGTACTCATGGAACTGCCCTGGGAACGTGCAAATCATTTTCTCAGCTGTTTCCTTACTGGCCTGCAAATGGCTCTGTCCCCAGAAGGAGTATTACTGGATATACTAATTGCTATTCTGTGCTTTCTGAAATAAACTCATCCTTGGCTATACAATGAATTCCCACAAAGCAAACCACACTTGGCTCTTCCACTTCCATAGTAAAAGTTCAATATTGTTATAACAAGGGAGTTTTTGAGACAGAAGAAATCCTAGATGTCATCTAATCCAAATTTTACAAATAGGGAAACTGGGGCCCAGAAGAGCAAAATGGCTTATCTATGATGGCACATTATCAGTGTAATCTCCAAACTTGGCATCCGTGGGGCCAACACCACAATCAAGCTACAGAATGATTCCACTACACCACAAAGGGCCTTCACACCCCGCTGCAATAGATCCCTATGCCATCTCCCAGCCCCAGACAATCACTGATTTGCTTTCTGTCCCTGTAGTTGAGTTTCGTGTGTTCTAGAACTTTATATACATGGAACCAAGGCATATAAATTCTTTGGAGTCTGCCCTCTTTCGCTCAGCATGATTTTTCTGAGATTCTCTCATGTTTTATCAGTTCTTTTTTACTGCTGAGTAGTATTCCACTGGAGATCTGTATCAGTATTTGTCTATTTATTCGTATGCTAATAGTTACTTGGGTTGTTCACAGTTTTGGTCTATTATGAATAAAGCTGCTAAAAATGGCCAGGTATAATTCTTTGTATGGACATATGTTTTCGTTTCTCTCAGGTAAATACCTAGGAATGGAATGGAGGGTCATATAGGAAGTGTACATTTGACCAAATTAGAAATCTGGTCTCTGACTTTTAATCCATCACTCCTTCTACCATATCATACTGTTTCCATAATTCAATACCATTTTCGCAGCAGGTATGAACAGTTTGGGCAGCCTTAGAGCAAGTAGGGCAGTCCCCACCAACAGGGCTCTATCTCCTGGTCCCCAACTGGGCATACACCTTTCCTGTGCAATAGCTTATGATCATTTTTCTGTGCTATGAAACACAAGAAGTTTCTGGAATCCATGACTCCTGAACCTTGTTTGTTCTCTTCTCCTGTTGTTTGGATAGCTATAACAACTAATAGAGTAGAGGTTTCTATGTGAGGATGGGATATGCTCCTACCTAGTGGGGCCCTTTAAGTCCGGGAACTTGGAACAAATTTCTGGCCAGCACTATAACCCTATTCATTCTCATATGAAGTCCTGTGAAGTGAGTTTATTACAATGAAGGATTCTTCTGTAATTATTACATTAAATCACAGCATTGATCTGTTGCACAGAAAGTCCTCTTTGCCATAGGCCAGGAGTTAATGGAGGAAGCAGGTATTGTAGAGTATGAACTCTGGTTCAAATGTCTGGGCTGAATCTTGATGATACCACTTACCAGCTATGTGAAGAGTCATAGAACCTCTCCATTTTCTATCTGTAAAATGGGGATAACCATGGCACCTACCTCATAGATTTGCTGTGAAAACTAAATGAGTCAATTCAGGTGAAGTGCTGAGAACAACACCTGCCTCATAGTAAGAGCCATGTAGAATATCAGCTGCCACTACCACCACCACTGCCGCCGCCGCTGCTTGATTTGGGCTGAGGGTTTGAGAACCTTGAATTTACTTACTTGACTTCAGGAAAATGCTTATAAATTCTAAAGAACATTAGCTAATATGCAAAATTTTATTCTATACCATGTTCCTTCTCCCTTCCCCTTACATCTTGAAAACTTCCTCAAATTTCAAAACAATAAATGAATTAAAAATGCAATCAACTTTTCTTCATTGGTCATGGTGAAAAGACCTCTTACCACCCATGTTTGCTTTTTTGAGTTGCCCTAAAGCCTCTAGAGATGCCATTCTCAGTGATTTCATCCACTCCTTATGCCAGTTCCACTAAGCTTATCTCCGAACTCAATGGACCAAAAAGGGTGTCGATTGATGTGTTCTCGACATCTAGCGGCCAAAAGAAATGACTGCAGGTAACTAAAGCAATTGCCATTTTTTCCACCTTTACGCCAGGGCTCCTGCAACACCAAGTGGCTGACTTGGGAATGCTGGCTGATGTCTGTCTCCCAGGCCCCTGCCTTTCCATTCTCAAAGCTTTTCTCTTTTCCTCCACATTCATGGGCACCACTGGTTTCTCTGCTTTTCTACCATGATGCTGGTGGTGTTCATTTCTGGACTCATCCCTTTCTGGGTTCAATGATTCCCACTAAAGCCATGTTTTCTGTTTCAGCTGCTGAGGTCTGCTTATCTCACCACAAATCTATCATCTGTGTTGAGCGGTTCCAGAGGAAGAGAGAGCATTCTATTTGCAATTAGATCTTCCTGTCCAATCATCCATGCATCCATCCATCTATTCACTCAAGGTCAGCATCCCAGCTGGGTGTTCTCAGCCTCCCGCATTTCCCTTTTCCTAGTTTTTCACTCAAACCACACAGTACTCTTCTTACTCTGCAACAAACCAAACTTCCCATTACATTCTCTGAACTGAGTCGCAAAAGTCCCAAGCTTGAAGAACATGGCCAGAGGGCCCTGGGGCCCAACTCTCAGGGATCCAATTGGTAATTCCAGATCCTAAGAATAACAGTGAACTTGATTGCCTAGGGTGACTTAGGTCAGACAGCTGCCACAAAAGAGTTCACCTAGGGGGCCTGTTAGAAATGAGTCTAACAAAAAAAAAAAAAAAAAGAAATGAGTCTAACTACATCCAGAATCCTCCAGATGTTTGCTTTAATTACCTGAAACATGGGCTTTAGCATGAAAGGTCCTTAGCTCAATAGCTTAGAACAGTCTGCTCAATATTGCCAGCCCAGGATGTATTAAATAATATTTAAACTTATCAATTACTTGAGAATTTGCAAACATCTTTTTTTTATTACCCCCAAAGAGCATTTCAGTTAATCTGTACCCCAACCCTGGGAGGCAGTATGATAACAATAATGATAATAGCAGCTAACATTCACTGAACACTTACATGCCTAGCCTTTTTCTAAGCACTATACATATATTAACTCTTTTATTTCTCACAAAAACCCTAGGAGGTAGACACCACATGATCCCTGCTTTACAGAAGCAGAAACCACAAAATAAGGATGAAGGGATCCACTACCCCACACGGACTCAGGAGACCTGGTTTTGAGACTCAACCCTCCCCTCAAACTTGCTGAGTAACAGTGACAGAGACTTGTCTTCTCTTTGCCAGCTGCTGGAGACCAGAATAGTGGTGGATGGGAATGTGCTCCGTAAGTTGTGACTATAAGGTAACTGGCTGACAGCAGGGTTGAGGCTGGGAAGGGCTCAGAGGTGGATGTAGGAAGGAGTTCAACTGAGGCCAAAGTACTGAGACCCAGTCTTCAAGTTGGCACCCCCGAAGGACCCCTTATAGGGACCCACCTGGCTTAATGGGATGTTCACATTCCAACCCTCCAGACTCTGTCAGGGAGATCCCTTGGAACAAGTCTAGCACAGGCTGAGAAGGACCCTATAAGGACATATAAGTTGAGACCACTGTTCTTGGACACAGATCTGTATCACACATTCTCAAAAGGCTCTCCAGAAATCTTGGTGTATTAACCCATTATTGAAAAAACTGAGGCTCAGAAATGGCAAGTGAATTGCACAAAGTCACAGAGCAAGCCAGATAGCTAGGACTTCTGAGCTACAGTGTTGCTGCTATAGTAACCATGTTGCTCTTGGCTGCATACACTTTGCTTTCTGCATCTTTCCAAATCCTCAGATCATGAAAATAAGGAAGTATTATATGCATAGTCCTTCAGACCCTCATTTAAATGGAAAAGAAGCCAAAGGAAATACAAAAGTTGACAGCATCAAAAAAAGGAACATGCTAGGGCAAGGCAAGAACCCAGTTGTTAGACAGTAGGTTCTCAACAGTGAAGTTCATGCACACTTCCTCTACCCTGCAGGCAGGGCCATCTCTAGCCATGCAAGAGCTTTGTATGGGTGAAATCCTGGGCCAATGCATGTCAAAACATCCTTGAAGGAAAAATGAGTTTCCATATTTCAATATAACCACCCACACTCTGTGTGGCCTACGTTCTCTTTAGAACTTATAATTGCTATCTTATTTACTCATTTTGCATGTCTATTCACTGTCTCACAGCAAGTTAAGTGCAATGTCCAGAGGGCCAGGACCTTGTTGAAGAGCATATTCCCTGTACTAAAGCAGAGATTGGTGCCCAGCAAGTATCAGTATATATTTGCAAGAATGAATGAAGGACAGCTGGCTGGGTGTGAGTGGAAGGATGGATGGATGGAAGGAAGGATAGATAGGGAGATGGTTGAATGGACAGATGGGTGAGTGGGTAAACCAGTAGATGGATGGCTGGCTGGATGGAAGGAACAGAGGAAAGAGAAGGAGAAAAAATGGGGGAGATACAGTTCTACTGCCTTTGACCTTGGTGAACATATTTGGAGGTAGGGAGACAGACAGGGTCTCCACCAACACAGAAAACACCCTCTAGCAGGGACATGGACAAGTTTACAAACTATTATTACATGGTATAGTAAGGGC